TAATCTCACATGACTGGCAGGGGCGCAGCCATGGGTGGGCCTGGAAAGGCATAGGCCCACCCACTTGGGAGACTGGCCATCCACTGGGGAGCAAAGCCCAGCCAATCAGAATGAGTTTTTCCCCACAAAAGGGCTTTATTTTAGACAGAAATACTCCTCAGCTTAATCAGCTGTCCGGGTGGCTGGTCTCAGACGATCCTGCTGGTGAAGAAGCCGGACGTGGAGGTGCTGAGCTGGCCTGGTTACAGGTGGTTTGCGGTTGTGAGGCCGGTTGGACGTGCTACCAAATTCTCTAAAATGACATGGTAGAGAAATTAACATTACATTCTCTGGCAACAGCTCTGGTGGATGTTACTGCAATCCGCATGCCAATTGCACACTCCCTCAAAACTTGAGACATCTGTGGCATTGTGTTGTGTGACAAAACACATTTTAGAGTGGCCTTTTATTGTCCCCAACACAAGGCGCACCGGTGTAATAGTCATGCTGTTTAATCAGCTTCTTGATATGCCACATCTGGATGCATTATATTGGCAAAGGAGAAATGCTCACTAACAGGGATGTAAACAAATTTGTGAACAACATTTGAGAGAAATTAGCTTTTTGTGCAAGTTTCAGGGATCTTTTATTTCAGCTCATGAAACATGGGACAAACACTTTACATGTTGCATTTAGACCAACACTTTACATGTTGCGTTTATATTTTTGTTCAGTATACAAGGAGTGACAGCACAGAGTCAATGTGCAGGAGTACGAGGTAGTTGAGGTAATTGAGGTAATATGTACATGTAGGTAGGGGTAAAAGTGACTAGACAATCAGGATAGATAATAAACAGAGTAGCAGCAACGTATGTGAAGAGTGTCAAAGTGTGAGAACATGTGTGTGTGTTTGGTGTCAATATCTGTGTGTGTGTTTTGTGTGTGTGAGCGTATGTAGTGTGTGTGTTGGAGTGTCAGTGTAGTATGTGTGAGTGTGTGGTTAGAGTCCAGTGAGTGTGCATAGAGACGGCGCAAATAAAAAGGGGGTCAATGCAAATAGTCAGTGTAACCATTTGATTAACTGTTTAGCAGTCTTATGGTTTGGGGGTAGAAGCTGTTCAGGAGCCTTTTGGTTCCAGACTTGGCGCTCCACTACCATTTGCCATATGGTAGCAGAGAGAACAGTCTATGACTTGGGTGGCTGGAGTCTTTTAACATTTTTAGGGCCTGACCGCCTGGTATAGAGGTCCTGGGTGGCAGGGAGCTTGGCCCCAGTGATGTACTGGACCGTACACACTACCCTCTGTAGTGTCTTACGGTTGGATGCCAAGCAATTTCCATACCAAGCGGTTATGCAGCCAGTCAAGATGCTCTCAATGGTGTAGCTTTAGAACGTTTTGAGGATCTGCGGGCCCATGCCAAATCTTTTCAGTCTCCTGAGGGGGAAGAGGCATTGCCGTGCCCTCTTCACGACTGTGTTAGTGTGTTTGTACCATGATAGGTCCTTAGTGATACAGCCCAGTCGATGTGAATGGGGGTGTGCTCGGCCCTCTGTTTCCTGTTGTCCACGATCAGCTCCTTGGTCTTGCTGACGTTGAGGGAGAAGTTGTTGTCCTGGCACCACACTGCCAGGTCTCTGTCCTCCTCCCTATAGGCTGTCTCATCGTCGTTGGTGATCAGGCCTACCACCAATAGCGGTGCGTGGGAAAGCCACGCCAGGAAAAAAAAGCCATATTACAACCTATGTGTTGTGATAATTGCGTTATTTGCGCTATAACCTGTTAGTTCATATGCCTTGACACTGTGATATACTGTATATGCCTAAGGCCGAGACAATAAGAAGACACAGTGGCAGAATAAATTCAACCACACCTTTGTTTCATCACAAAACCGGAGAGCAACCTCTGTCCGGTGAAGTCCACAGAGCATATTGCATATAACAAACAGTTACATGACCTACAGCATGGTCAAGCAAGTTAATGTTTCCGAAATGTTTGGACAACTAAACCACTATTGATTTAGAACCACGTAGAGGTACCGCAAGTCGCAAAGAAAACAGGTGCTGCCTCCACTATTCCAGCACCATTTAAACTTCAACATTTCAACATCATCTAATACTAATCACCTATGCTTAGTCTAATACAGTGACAGCTAAAAGATACCAAAAACGATTTAGTCCAATCAACGTACAGTGAGGGAAAAAAGTATTTGATCCCCTGCTGATTTTGTACGTTTGCCCACTGACAAAGAAATGATCAGTCTATAATTTTAATGGTAGGTTAAAAACCAAATAGCTCTCCAAGGATGTCAGGGACAAGATTGTAGACCTACACAAGTGGTCCTCTGTAGCTCAGCTGGTAGAGCATAGCGCTTGTAACGCCAAGGTAGTGGGTTCGATCCCCGGGACCACCCATACACAAAAAATGTATGCACGCATGACTGTAAGTCACTTTGGATAAAAGCGTCTGCTAAATGGCATATTATTATATTACAAGGCTGGAATGGGCTACAAGACCATCGCCAAGCAGCTTGGTGAGAAGGTGACAACAGTTGGTGCGATTATTCGCAAATGGAAGAAACACAAAATAACTGTCAATCTCCCTCGGCCTGGGGCTCCATGCAAGATCTCACCTCGTGGAGTTGCAATGATCATGAGAACGGTGAGGAATCAGACCAGAACTACACAGGAGGATCTTGTCAATGATCTCAAGGCAGCTGGGACCATAGTCACCAAGAAAACAATTGGTAACACACAACGCCGTGAAGGACTGAAATCCTGCAGCGCCCGCAAGGTCCCCCTGCTCAAGAAAGCACATATACAGGGCCGTTTGAAGTTTGCCAATGAACATCTGAATGATTCAGAGGAGAACTGGGTGAAAGTGTTGTGGTCAGATGAGACCAAAATCGAGCTCTTTGACATCAACTCAACTCGCCGTGTTTGGAGGAGGAGGAATGCTGCCTATTACCCAAGAACACCATCCCCACCGTCAAACATGGAGGTGGAAACATTATGCTTTGGGGGTGTTTTTCTGGTAAGGGGACAGGACAACTTCACTGCATCAAAGGGATGAGGCCATGTACTGTCAAATCTTGGGTGAGAACCTCCTTCCCTCAACCAGGGCATTGAAAATGGGTCGTGGATGGGTATTCCAGCATGACAATGACCCAAAACACACGGCCAAGGCAACAAAGGAGTGGCTCAAGAAGAAGCACATTAAGGTCCTGGAGTTGCCTAGCCAGTCTCCAGACCTTAATCCCATAGAAAATCTGTGGAGGGAGCTGAAGGTTTGAGTTGCCAAACGTCAGCCTCAAAACCTTAATGACTTGGAGAAGATCTGCAAAGAAGTGGAACAAATTCCCTCCTGAGATGTGTGCAAACCTGGTGGCCAACTACAAGAAACGTCTGACCTCTGTGATTGCCAACAAGGGTTTTGCCACCAAGTACTAAGTCATGTATTGCAGAGGGGTCAAATACTTATTTCCCTCATTAAAATGCAAATCAATTCATAAAATTTTTTACATGCGTTTTTCGGCATTATTTTTTTATTTATTCTGTCTCTCACTGCTCAAATAAACCTACCATTAAAATGATAGACTGATCATGTCTTTGTCAGTGGGCAAACGTACAAAATCAGCAGGTGATCAAATACTTTTTTCCCTCACTGTACGTGAAATATGATGTGGCTGTCCATGGTACTGATTTCTGTGTTTGTGTGTGAGGTTGCGTGTGCGTGCAAGTAGATAAAACATGTTAATTCACCCTACTTGTAGAGAAACACCAATGGCATCTTTCTCTTTCACGTTGCCTAAACGGTCTATGATTTTGTCATGATACAATACATGCTTTTAGTTTTAATTGTCCTAGGCTACCTGGCTAAGATGCCAGGCCAGCTAGTTAACATTAGCCTACTACATCTAGCTACATGTTGAACTTCCATCCTCTCAGGCCAGGGTCACAATGTATGAATTTATGGTATGGAGAATTTCGTAAAACCACAAGTCCAAATCCCTATCTCCATCCATGGCTAATAAAGGAAAGGGACAATTTTAGCTAGCTAGACAACAGCACAATGAGATCCAACTATAAATTACGCTTGGCTTTTGGGGCAATGTGATTGGTCTGAAGCCAAATCCAACGGTCAGCAGCAGTACAGAGCCCCTGGATGGAGAGCAATTGTGGGGGGTTACGGTGCATTCGGAAAGTATTCAGACCCCTTGACTTTTTCCACATTTTGTTACGTTACAGCCTTATTCTAAAATGGATTAAATTGTTTTTTCCCCCTCATCAATATACACACAATACCCCATAAAGACAAAATAAAAATGTGGGTTTTTAGAAATTTTAGCAAATGTATTAAATATAAAAAACTGAAGTATCACATTTACATAAGTATTCAGACCCTTTACTCAGTACTTTGTTGAAGCACCTTTGGCAGCGATTACAGACAGCCTCGAGTCTTCTTGAGTATGACGCTACAATCTTGGCACATCTGTATTTGGGGAGTTTCCCCCCATTCTTCTCTGCAGATCCTCTCAAGCTCTGTCAGGTTGGAAGGGGAGTATCACTGCATTGCTATTTTCAGGTCTCTCCAGAGATGTTAGATAGGTTTCAAGTCTGGGCTCTGGCTGGGCCACTCAAGGACATTCAGAGACTTGTCCCAAAGCCACACCTGTGCTGTCTTGGCTGTGTGCTTAGGGTTGTTGTCCTGTCGCCGGCTGCGACAGAGCCTGGCCTCGAACCAGGATATCTAGTGGCACAGCTAGCACTGCGATGCAGTGCCTTAGACCACGCACATTCTTATTTTTGTCATAACACTACACAGTGGATTCAAATGATCAACGTATCAAGCTTTGATGATTTGAATTAGATGTGTAGTGCTAAGGCAAAAACTAAAATGTGCACCCCTTTGGTTCCCTAGGACCAGGATCAAGAAACCGTGCTCTAGGGCTAGGCTAATACAGGAGCAATGAATGAGTGTGATGCCATGACTGTGATGGTTCAAGCCCAGGACGACACAAAAATGGGTATGGAACTGAACTGGCAGCTGGAAGGCTCCCATGTACCATATTGTGCCCTTGAGCAAGGAACTTCATCCCCCACAATTGCTCTCCACCCAGGGGTGCTGCACTGCAAGGTGTTTGGAAAAGCAGAAGACACTTTATTGTCCATTGGTGAGAATGGAAATATAAATATTCTCTCCGTGTTCTTGTTACAAGATGAGTCTTGGCACATGTCTACACTCACACTGCTGTTGCCTCTATTGCACCACTATACAAGTATTCCTTGTATTGTACTACACTGCCATTACTGTATGTATGGCTACTATTTAACCCCCTAGAGTCTATGTTCACGCATGCTTCAGGTGATAGAAATCTGAACACACTTCCAGCGCTTTAAAAAGTTGATGTAATTAGACTTTCCTGTGGATATATTGTGTCACATTCCTATCTCCAAAAGGGACCAACCGCACAGACAACCGGTATCCGCCAAACCCAGATTAGTCTGTCAGACTGCCAGATGGTGAAGCCATTTCCACTGCTCCAGAGTCCAATGGTGGCGAGCTTTACACCACTCCAGCTGACACTTGGCATTGCGCATGGTCTCCCGAGTGGCGCAGTGGTCTAAGGCACTGCATCGCAGTGCTACCTGTGTCACTAGAGATCCTGGTTCGAATCCAGGCTCTGTCGTAGCCGGCCGCGACCGGGAGACCCATGGGGTGGCGCACAATTGGCCCAGCGTTGTCCAGGGTAGGGGAGGGAATGGCCGGCAGGGATGTAGCTCAGTTGGTAGAGCATGGCGTTTGCAACGCCAGGGTTGTGGGTTCGTTTCCCACGGGGGGTATAAAAAATAATGTATGCACTAACTGTAAGTCGCTCTGGATAAGAGCGTCTGCTAAATGACTAAAATGTAAATGTAATGTAAAATGCATGGTGATCTTAGGCTTGCGTGCAGCTGCTCGGCCATGGAAACCCAGTTGCTTCCAGAGGCAGTTTGGAACTCGGTAGTGAGTATTGCAACCGAGGACAGAAAATGTTTATGCGCCACACGCTTCAGCACTCGCCGGTCCCGTTCTGTGAGCTTGTGTGGCCTACCACTTCGCGGTTGAGCCGTTGTTGCTCCTAGATGTTTCCACTTCACAATAACAGCACTTACAGTTGACCGGGGCAGCTCTAACAGGGCAGAAATTTTAAGAACTGACTTGTTGAAAAGGTGGCCCCTATGACGTTGCCATGTTGAAAGTCACTGAGCTCTTCAGTAAGGCCATTCTACTGCCAATATTTGTCTATGGCTGTGTGCTCGATTTTATACACCTGTCAGCAACGAGTGTGGCTGAAATAGACAAATCCACTAATTTGAAGGGGTGTCCACATACTTTTGTATATATAGTGTATATCACATTTCTTATGTTTTTTAAATTGGTATTTCATCACCTGCCAGATAAAAACCTAAAATGGCCCTACTGAAAAGGTTTATTGGCCCGAATAATCTGAAGTGGATTTGGCCCGAGTACCATTAGCCGGAGCCCAGAGTAATATGATTCTGCCGGACTCTGGAAAAGCTTGGCCCACATGAAGCCCCCCGAGCCCGAGTCCATGCCGAGTCCCCTGAGTCTCAAACGGAATAGGCCCGAGCCCAGCGTGTTGACTGCACTGTAAAAAAATCTGTAATTTTTACAGTGAATTACTGGCAGCACAGTAGCCAGTAGGTTACTGTAGATGTACAGTAAAATACTGGCATCACAGAAGGCAGTAAATTATTGTAGATTTACAGGACCTTTACTGAAACACAAATGTACAGTATATTACTGTATTACCTGACTACAGCAACGTGCTGTATTTCTAGAATTGATAGTGCATTTCTGGAAGCGCAGTGGTTAATAAACTTTTGCAATGAGTGCAAGCAGCTAGTGCCAACGATGGGCAATGTTTCTGTTGCAGGTATTTGATAAACCTATTTTATTATTTGTATTTCGCTGGCCCGAAGTACGATTCATGTATTTTGTACCACTTTAATGAGAATATATGTATTTTGTATTTTCAAATACAACAATAAACTTGCAAGTAGCCCGCTTAACTACAACAACATTCTCGGTAACTGTAAAATAATCGTTTTCCTTGCTATGACTGTGATATGTTCTTGGTTATATGCCTTAGTTTAGTGTAAGTCGTTCTGGATAAGATTGTCTGCTAATGACCAAAATGTAAATGTAAAAATGAACGCTTGCAAAGCACACTGCTGGGTATTATTCTAATGAGCTCCACCCCCAAACAAGGACAAATTTGATCAAAATATAAATTGTTTTTGAGGGCGGAGCTCATTAGAATAATACCCAGCAGTGTGCTTTGCAAGTGTTAATTTTTACATTTACATTTTGGTAATTTACCATACGCTTTTGTCCGGAGTGATGTATAGTCAGTGCATTAAACTAAGGTTGGTGAAACATTTCTGTAACTGTTACTGAGAATGTTGTTGTAGTTAAAGATAAACTGGTCTTCAAGGTGTTTTGTATTTGTTACAAGATACCTTTTGACGTTTCTTTGCCCATCTCTGGTTAGTGCCAAGTACATTACTGTAATATTCACAGTAACTTGCCACCAGTTTCCTGTAAGTTACTGTAATATCAGAGCAATGATACAGTACAATACTGTAAAATTAGCCTACTATTCTGTAAGAAAGTAAATACTACTGTAATTTAAATATTGGCATTTTACTGTACGTACATGTGATTGATGCAAGCAGGTTGGATGCAAGTTATTTGTATGTTGCTGTCACGAATGTCAGTGAAATGCGGTGGAAGGAGTCAGGCGCAGGACACAGAACTCTCGGAAACTTACTTTACTCAGAATGCAAGAACACGAAACAGAATACCTCCACACAGGGAGGAACTAACCCGCTCACCAACGACACACGTCACAAAGAAACAATCACACACAAAATCCAAATGAGAGACAGGGGTAAATATAGGGCATACAATCATACATAATGGAGAACAGGTGTAAACAATACAGACTAAACTAGACAAACACCGAAACATCGATCGGCAGCAGCTAGTACTCCGGGGACGACGAACGCCGAAGCCTGCCCGAGCAAGGAGGAGGAGCAGCCTCGGCAGAATCCGTGACAGTTGCAGCACTTTTACAAATACTGTATTTGGTGTTTTATATCACTTGCATGTCTAGAGGCCTGAACAAACGCTTCCAAACTGCCCGTGATTACAGGGAAAACAGACCAAAAGGACTTGGCAAACCACTAAAACTATAAAGGTTTTAGACTTACTGTCACTTTAATCTGACCCCCATGCACATTCAATTGTTAGGGCACTACTACCACATGTCAGTTCAATTGGTACAGCATTCTGACTAAGGGGTACAACAAATATAGCCACGTACAAGGCACAACTCGAAATATATTATTTCCCCGCCCACAACATTTGACCATAATTTATAGAACACTGCAGTAAATATACAGAAAAACAGCAATACAGTACTTTATTGTTAAATTGTATGGTAATAAAATTACAGCAATTGCTAACAGTGAGTATGTAATTATATATTACATTGTACCAATGAATATGTTGTGTTTTATATCACTTGCACTTGTAGAGGCCTTAACAAAGGCTTCTAAACTGGCAGTGACTACAGGGCAAAACAGATCAAAAGGACATGGCTAAACACTCAACCATTAAAGGTTTGAGACTTGCTGCCACTCTGATCTGTCCCCTAAACACATTCAATTGTTAGGGAACTACTTTCACATGTCAGTTAAATTGGTACACCACTCTCACTAATGGATGCAACAAATATAACCTCTTACAAGGCATGCCTCGAAATACACTGCTCAAAAAAATAAAGGGAACACTTAAACAACACAATATAACTCCAAGTCAATCACACTTCTGTGAAATCAAACTGTCCACTTAGGAAGCAACACTGATTGACAATAAATGTCACATGCTGTTGTGCAAATGGAATAGACAACAGGTGGAAATTATAGGCAATTAGCAAGACACCCCCAATAAAGAAGTGGTTCTGCAGGTGGTGACCACAGACCACTTCTCAGTTCCTATGCTTCCTGGCTGATGTTTTGGTCACTTTTGAATGTTTGTGGTGCTTTCACTCTAGTGGTAGCATGAGACGGAGTCTACAACCCACACAAGTGGCTCAGGTAGTGCAGCTCGTCCAGGATGGCACATCAATGCGAGCTGTGGCAAGAAGGTTTGCTGTGTCTGTCAGCGTATGGTCCAGAGCATGGAGGCGCTACCAGGAGACAGGCCAGTACATCAGGAGACGTGGAGGAGGCCGTAGGAGGGCAACAACCCAGCAGCAGGACCGCTACCGCCGCCTTTGTGCAAGGAGGAGCAGGAGGAGCACTGCCAGAGCCCTGCAAAATGACCACCAGCAGGCCACAAATGTGCATGTGTCTGCTCAAACGGTCAGAAACAAACTCCATGAGGGTGGTATGAGGGCCCGACGTCCACAGGTGGGGGTTGTGCTTACAGCCCAACACCGTGCAGGACGTTTGGCATTTGCCAGAGAACACCAAGATTGGCAAATTCGCCCTGTGCTCTTCACAGATGAAAGCAGGTTCACACTGAGCACGTGACAGACGTGACAGAGTCTGGAGACGCCGTTGAGAACGTTCTGCTGCCTGCAACATCCTCCAGCATGACCGGTTTGGCTCTGCCCTCCATGTGCTCGCCAGAGGTAGCCTGACTGCCATAAGGTACCGAGATGAGATCCTCAGACCCCTTGTGAGACCATATGCTGGTGCGGTTGGCCCTGGGTTCCTCCTAATGCAAGACAATGCTAGACCTCATGTGGCTGGAGTGTGTCAGCAGTTCCTGCAAGAGGAAGGCATTGATGCTATGGACTGGCCCGCCCGTTCCCCAGACCTGAATCCAATTGAGCACATCTGGGACATCATGTCTCGCTCCATCCACCAACGCCACGTTGCACCACAGACTGTCCAGGAGTTGGCGGATGCTTTAGTCCAGGTCTGGGAGGAGATCCCTCAGGAGACCATCCGCCACCTCATCAGGAGCATGCCCAGGCATTGTAGGGAGGTCACACATGCACGTGGAGGCCACACACACTACTGAGCCTCATTTTGACTTGTTTTAAGGACATTACATCAAAGTTGGATCAGCCTGTAGTGTGGTTTTCCACTTTAATTTTGAGGATGACTCCAAATCCAGACCTCCATTGTTTGATAAATTTGATTTCCATTGATCATTTTTGTGTGATTTTGTTGTCAGCACATTCAACTATGTAAAGAAAAAAGTATTTAATAAGATTATTTCATTCATTCAGATCTAGGATGTGTTGTTTAAGTGTTCCCTTTATTTTTTTGAGCAGTGTATATTAATGAGACAGAAACAACACTACCATGCACCCACTAGTGTTCAAAAGGTTTTTGGCATTCTCCCGAGTGGCGCAGTGGTCTAAGGAATTGTGCCACTAGAGATCCTGGTTCGAATCCAGGCTCTGTCGTAGCCGGCCGCGACCGGGAGACCCATGGGGCGGCGCACAATTGGCCCAGCGTCGTCCAGGGTAGGGGACGGAATGGCCGGCAGGGATGTAGCTCAGTTGGTAGAGCATGGCGTTTGCAACGCCAGGGTTGTGGGTTCGATTCCCACGGGAGGCCAATATGAAAAAAAAAGAAAAAAGAATGTATGCACTCACTAACTGTAAGTCGCTCTGGATAAGAGCGTCTGCTAAATGACTAAAATTGAAAATGTAGATGTAAAATAACAGTATGGTACTGTATTCTGTGGGGTTGGTATGGAATTACAGTGAAATACTAGCATCACAGTAGCTAGTAAATTACTGTAGATTTACAGGCAAATGTTTTTGATTCCAAAAATACAGTATGGTACTGTAGTCTGTGGGGTTGTACTGCATTACAGTAAATTACTGGGTGCACAGTAGCTAGTAAGTTACTTCAGTTTTACAGGACAAGGTTTTTAGATTCCGAAAATACGGTATGGTACTATTTTCTGTGGGGTACAGCATTCTCACTAACGGGTGCAACAAATATAGCCTCTTACATGGCACACCTCAAAATGTATTAATGAACTACATAGAGCTACATATTCATTGCCCGCCCACAAAATTTTCCCACAATGCACCCTAATTCACAGTATGCTTACATTTACATTACATTTTAGTCATTTAGCAGACGCTCCTATCCAGAGCGACTTACAGTTAGTGAATACATATTTTTTTTATACTGGCCCCCCATGGGAATCGAACCCACAACCCTGGCGTTGCAAACGCCATGCTCTATCAACTGAGCTACATCCCTGCCGGCCATTCCCTCCCCTACCCTGGACGACGCTGGGCCAATTGTGCGCCGCCCATGAGTCTCCTGGTCGCGGCCGGCGGCGACAGAGCCTGGATTCGAACCAGGATCTCTAGTAGCACAGTTAGCACTGCGATGCAGTGCCTTAGACCACTGCGCCACTCAGGAGTAGTATGCTGCCGTAAATATACAGCAAAACAGGTAATACAATGCTTTACTGTAAAATTACATTGTAAAATTACAGCAATTGCAATTTTACAGCATTGTAGCGGAATTGTAGCAGAATACCATTGAGCCCTGGTATTGCATTCCTCTTTACAGTACTGTACTGTAATATAGAATTACAGTAGCAAAGGTAAGTGTTTTGCTGTAAATGTACAGCAATTTGTTTCAGTGTGGGTACAGTATACCATGAGACACTAACCGGCTTTGGTGCGCTCTGCCAGCTGTTGTTTGCCAAGTGTGCTAAGCTGTATCATACAAACCCTGCTGAAAAATAACATTTCTACAATTGTGTCATGTTTGCATAGATTGATGTCTATTAATTGAGTAGCATTTAGATAACTGGTCAATAGTTCAATCAGATTTCAACCATAAACCAGATATCAGTCAAAATAAGAGAGGGAAAAAGACATCATGAAAAATACCTCTTAATCTGGTTGTGATCTGGTTATAAGAAGTCCTGACCATATTTCAACCAGGAAAATATGTCTTTATCACATTGCATGCACACTGGGTACAATCAGTTAGCAAGTCAGACATTTCTGAGTTTCGTGGTTCCGACTTGCACGTCAACGCTCCATAACGTTCCTGGGTTCCAGACGTTTTCATTGGCCACGTCCTATTGCGGGCGAGACTCTAGACCACGAATTCCTCAGCGCTCCTCAAATTTCCTGAAATCACAGACCTCTAGTTCTCCTCTGTAACCGTCACATTCAGCGCCCACCTCCTCCTCGCAACAGACGCCTGAACAGAGCCGCTTTTCAAAATGGTAATTTACTTTATTTCTTTGACTATTTAACTATTTTACTTGACATTAATCAATAACATGCGTTTTTAAACTTTCGTATATTTTCATATTTTTCTCTTCCTTGCCTCTCTCTTCCCAGATGTTGCAAAGTGTCCCCTTCCTCGTATTGCTGGCGATAGCGTTCTGTCAAGCCGAGGTAAGTTGGACTTCAGATTGTTTAGTTAACTGGTGATCAATGCAAAACTAAACAACATATTATGATTGAAATAGGCTACTCCTATATTAAATGTGAAAGGCTCTGCTCCCTTTACTGGCTTTATGGGTTTTATATGGCGTTTTTAGGCAGGGCCTGCTATTGCAGGGGCTTACAGGGGCTTAAGCCCCAGGGCCTAAGCCAGTAGGGGGCCCTTGAGGCAGAAAACCTTTGAAAAAAATAAATTTTTACAGTTAAATTATGTGTTTAATATTAGGCTCATCAAAAAATATCTAATCCCCTATAAAATATCTAAGCCCCAGGGCCTATTATTTTAAAATCCGGCCCTGCTTGTAGTGGCACAGCTGGAGTGCTTAGAATGTAGACTAGTCTAGTTATATTTGTGACAAACATAGGGCCTAATAATTAACGGCTAGATTTATTCAAAATTTTTATTCTTCATGATGGACCGAAGGTTTTCTTTTCAAGGGAGAACCGATTAACATGGCATTATCCAAGGGATATTGCGCACAAGACTTCATTATGGAGACAATTAGCCAGCAGTTCAATTAAACTGCTACAGGGACCGTTGCATTTTAATTGGAAAATCTTCTTCCAAATCCGTTTGTAGATTATGATGGCCACACAGCATATGATTTTATCATAATGGTTTGTAGGACTATCCAACTAAAAAAAACACATATATTTATCTTTGATGTAGTTTAGCTATGTTCACAGGATGTGAATGTGTCCTCTATATCTCTGATGGAAATGGGGCAAGGATTGATATTTTTGACACTGTTTTGGACAACACAGATGGAACAGAAAAATAAACACACACTCACGTGCACACATGCGCACACACGCACACACACACACACACACACACACACACACACACACACACACACACACACACACGCTATCCTGTGAATTTCCTCTTTCAGTGTTTGTTAAGTTGATGAAGTGATAGTGTTGCAAGCAAACAAGGATACTCTTTATTATCTTTGGCTCCATGGGTAACAAACAGAGTTAACTCCTACACTCATGGGAATTGGCCTATATGGATAAGGCGAAATGTAAATGTAGAAGAAATATAGAAATGCATAACCATGGTAGCAATTACACTGAACAAAAATATAAACGCAACATGCAACAATTTCAAAGATTTTACTGAGTTACAGTTCATATAAGGAAATCAGTCAATTGAAATAAATTCATTAGGCCATAATCTATGGATTTCACATGACTGGGAATAAAGATATGCATCTGTTGGTCACAGATACCTTTTAAAAAAAGGTAGAGGTTTGGATCATAAAACCAGTCAGTATCTGTTGTGACCACCATTTGCCTCATGCAGCGCAACACATCTCCTTCGCATAGAGTTGATCAGGCTGTTGATTGTGGCCTGTGGAATGTTGTCCCACTCCTCTTCAATGGCTGTGTGAATTTGCTAGATATTAGCGGGAACTGGAACACGCTGTCGTAGACGTCAATCCAGAGCATCCCAAACATGCTCAATGGGTGACATGTCTGGTGAGTATGCAGGCCATGGAAGAACTGGGAAATGTTCAGCTTCCAGGATTTGTGTACAGATCCTTGCGACATGGGGCAGTGTATTATCATGCTGAAACATGAGGTGATGGCGGCGGATGAGTGGCACGACAATGGGCCTCAGGATCTCGTCATGGTATCTCTGTGCATTCAAATTGCCATCGATAAAATGCAATTGTGTTCATTGTCCGTAGCTCATGCCTGCCCATACACTAACCCCACCGCCACCATGGGGCACTCTGTTCACAATGTTGACATCAGCAAACCGCTCGCCCATACGACGCCATGTGCCCGGTACAGTTGAAACCACAATTAATCAGTGAAGAGCACACTTCGCCAGCGTGACATTGGCCATTGGAGGTGAGCATTTGCACACTGAAGTTGGTTACGATGCCGAACTGCAGTCAGGTCAAGACCCTGGTGAGGATGACGAGCACGCAGATGAGCTTCCCTGAGACGGTTTCTGACAGTTTGTGCAGACATTTTTCTTTTCGGTTCTACAAACCCACAGTTTCATCAGCTGTCCGTGTAGCTCGTCTCAGACGATCCTTTAGATGAAGAATGTGGAGGTCCTGTGCTGGCGTTGTTACATGTGGTCTGCGGTTGTGAATCCGGTTGAACATACTGCCAAATTCTCTAAAAAAAACGTTGGAGGCGGCTTATGTTAGAGAAATGAACATTACATTATCTGGCAACAGCTCTGGTGGACATTCCTGGAGTCAGCATGCCAATTGCACACTCCCTCGAAACATCTGTGGCATTGTGTTGTGTGACAATAGTGCAGAATTTAGAGTGGCCCAGCACAAGGTGCACCTGTGTAATGATCATGCTCTTTAATCAGCTTCTTGATATGCCATACCTGTCAGGTGGATGGATCATCTTTTCAAAGGAGAAATGCTCACTAACAGGGATGTAAACAAATTTGTGCATAAAATATTAGATAAATACGCTTTTTGTGCGTATGGAACATTTCTGGGATCATTTATTTCAGCTCATGAAACATGGGACCAACAATTTACATGTTGTGTTTATATTTTTATTTAGTGTAAAGGTGAACAGTTTGGAGATTTTATGTGTATTTACAGTTACGAAATCTGAAAGTATTCTGGATACATTCAGTAACATGATACGAATATTCAAAAGGAAATTCGGAGAGGCAGATCATAATTTTGGCGCGCATAGAATTGAGTCATGAGTGCATTCAGATGCGTGGTCCGCGTCAAATTTTCTTCACAATACAGGACAACCCAGGGTATGATGCCATGTCATCTTGTAACTGTACATCAAACATAGTGATCATAAACGTTGACACTATATTACATTCGTTTTATGATATGGAAATGTGAAGTGCACTTTTGGACTCACGGGTGTTTGGATTGCTTGTATGACATCAAAGCGGTATTTATTATAATCCTCAACGCCTCATCTTTCAAAATACATTGAGTCCTCGTAATTTATAGCAATTCCCTCACTCAGACAACAAAAAAGTTGCCCAATTATCGGTAGGGATGGTGCAACTTCTTGTCACGCGCGGGGCTCAAGTACAGAATGTCTGTCAGTCAAAACTCATACAGAGCTCTGAAGCGGAGACCCTGAGCTCTGAAGTCATTTGTAACATGTTACTGTACAGCTGCTGCGTTCCAATTTAGGCACAGTGTCCAAATCAACCATTTTCAACCCGTATACGGGTACGAGTGTAAATGCTTAATAAACAGCTGAGCTAACTATACAAGGATCAGGAGGACTGTTTGCTGTGCTGGGGTTGTGTTTGGGTGGTCAGTGGGTGTGTGTGTGTGTGGATTGTAACACTCACCCGTGTGGGTCTCACACGCTGTGGTGCTAAGTAACCCCTGAGTAAACACTGAACTAAAGTGGTAGAGATGTGGTTTCTTGAAACCACACATGGTTAGTACTGTCACACACACACACCCGGGTTGTCTATTTTCAATGATTTGTCAATAAACTGAAAATGTATTTATTTATGACAAAAGTTGTTCAATTTGGGGATTTTTTATTTCAAATAACTTCCTGAATTGACTGACTTCAATTCGAATTGACCCCAACCCTGACACACATTTGTAGGCTTCAGGGTTAGATTGTGGAAAACACTTTGGAATTCCAAATATGTTCAGGAATTACTGTGGAATTCCAAAGATTTTCAGGAATTAGGCTACTTTGGAATTACTTTGCTTTTCAGGTTGACCCTAATTTCTGGAGTAAGATTATAGGTCAAGGTTTGGGAGAGGTTAGCTTTTGGGTTGAGGTTTAGCATGGCTGTAGTTCTCTCTCTAGACTTGCGGTAGATTGCAGGGTGAACTAAGTCAGCCTCTACTCATTGTCATTACACGTCCAGACAGTGATCACTATCAGTTCCAGCAGTACTACCTCCAGGCCCTCTGCTGACCTCCTAGTGCTGCCCCTGTCATTGCCTGCTGGAAAGGCCCTTTGTGTGGGTCTTTATTGGATCTGTTACCTCTCTCATTTGTGACCTCTGGCACTGAGAAGACTGAGTACAGACCAGAGTTTGTAGAATGTTGCTGTGGAGTATGTGGGAGAGGCATTATAAATACATATATTCTTTAAGGGTAATTACCCTGTTAATATACAGCCTATTGACAGACTGAGTAGGAATGTTAAAGTGGCCTGGTAGTACACTGTCTTAAGGCGGTCTTGGGGATTGTTTAGTTATACAATGTGTTGGTATACAGTTTACAGTTTACTTTAAAAGCCAATGTATGCTTGATCCGAAAATGTGGTCGGAGGCTCTGTATAGAGGGTGTGACGCAATTGAGGAGCCTCCGGAGGCATGCAGAGGCCAAATTGAGCTCCGTACCGCATTGCCGTGTGCCTTCCAAATTTTTTAACAATGCAGAGGGCTCCGTGTAGCTCCGCATTGACATGATTGGTTGTTGGTAGGTGGGGGTGGGAGGTGCTGTATAAACACAAACTAACTTCCTTGATAACTTCCTTCACAACAGCTCTGCTCAACAGCTCTGCGCTGCTCCGTGAAGCGCAAGAAGTATGAATGCCCTGACTTCTGCAGAAGCATACCACCGTAAATGTTGCACAGCCAATGCAGATCCGGATTGACCATGCAGAGCCTTTAAGGCTGACTACAATGTTGCACTGCATGGCAGTCTTTAGTGATTATTTCAAGTTTCAATCCCTATTGTGTAGTTACTGTAGCTGCAGATACTGTACCTCAGGTGTATGTGTTTTGTGTGTGTGTGAGTGTATGTGAGTGTGAGTGTTGTTGTTTGATGGCTTTTTATATTGCTGACATGAGAATGCTAAGTTATTAAAATGTGAAAGCTGGCTACAGATTTATTATGAAGGAGAGAATGCCTGGGTGCGTCCTGAGGCAAGAAATTGCTGTTTGCAGATAAGAGGCTCAGAGATAGTACGGCTGGGCTCACGGCTATTCTCTCTGTCTGTGTGGAGACTGAGGAGAGATATGCATCTGGTAAATAAGATGTTGACGTTTCCCACACACACACACACACACACTGTGAGAGTGAGATGCGAAGGCTGTGTGTGGGCACACACTCACACACACTTTTCTCTTCTCCAGGCATCCTGCGTTATTGCATTACCCATGGTGGCCGGTGTAATAACACAGTAGCTCAGTTCAGAACCACGGCTGGATCTTTGAAAATACAGGCTTCAGGAGAGAAACAGAACAATGGCCGTCTACGCCATGCACAGTATACAACCTTTCTACTCACACACAGTGGATAGACAACCACTCTACTCACACACAGGGGATAGACAACCTCTCTACTCACACACAGGGGATAGACAACCTCTCTACTCACACACAGGTGATAGACAACCTCTCTACTCACACACAGGGGATAGACAACCTCTCTACTCACACACAGTGGATACACAACCTCTCTACTCACACACAGTGGATAGACAAGTTCTCTACTCACACACAGAGGATAGACAACCTCTACTCACACACAGTGGATAGGCAACTTCTCTACTCACACACAGTGGATAGACAACCTCTCTATACACACACAGTGGATAGATACACACTAAAAACAAATGGTTCTATATACTGCCAAATAAGGGTTATTTGGTTTGTAACCACAGTGGATCCCTTTTTGGTGCTCTATATATAAAACATTTTTGAAGGTTCTATAAAGAACCATGCTCATAAGGTTCTAAATGGAACCTGTATGGTGCTATGAAGAACCATTAAAAAAAGGTTTTATATAGCACCAAAAAAGGGTTCCGCAATGGTTACAACCCTTTTTGGGACTATATAGAATGCTTTTTTTTATGGTTATTTATAGAACATTTATGGAGAAAGGTTTTTTATAGAACCATTCTCAATCTCAAAGGTTCTTTATAGATCCTTTTGAAGAACCACAGTTTTTTTTTGGTCTAATTTTCCATATTATGTTGTTAAAATTCCATAGGTGTTATTATTGTGGCAATTTACAAGTTGAATCAAGTGTGCTACATCTGGAACAGCTGGGGATCCCTGAGGAGACACAAGGCCATACGTGAATCTTTCACAAGACACGATCACTGGCCATAGTCATATATAACATGCAGTTACATAACACAACAGATTAGATGAACTGTAATGACACTCTCACTCAAGGTTGCACAAAAAGGCACAGCTAACCATGCCCCACATTATTTCAATGAGCGGCCGTCCATATATTTGAATGATCACTAAAAGAGCAAAGAACTGCAAAGAACCACTGAAGGGATCAAATTCCCAAAGAACGCTTGAGGAACCCTCTTTTCTTAGTGGGTACTCTCAAAGCTGAAGGACATGATGTAGGACGTAGCTTCATGGCGCCGACAAAGATGGCGGCCTCGCGACTAGCTCTTAGGAAACTTTGCAGTATTTTGTTTTTTTATGTATTATTTTTTACATTATTAGCTCAGAAAGTGTTTTGCATCATTACATACAGCCGGGAAAAACTATTGGATATCAGAGCGGCGGTAACTCACCAGCATTACGACCAGGAATACGACTTTCCCGAAGCAGATCCTTTGTTGCTCTCCCCAGTGCAACTGAACTGATTCCAGCGGCTGACCCAAAACATCGCCGGCGGAGGAGAGGCACTCGGAGCGGCCTGCTGGTTCGATTTAGGAGGCGCACACCACCCACCGCTTCCAAGTATTCTACTCGCTAATGTTCAGTCTTTGGTTAACAAGCTCCTTCCAGAGAGACATCAAGGCATGTAACATCCTCTGTTTCACGGAAACATGGCTCTCTTGGGATATTCTGTCGGAATCGGTCCAGCCAGATGGGTTCTGAGTTTATCGCGCAGACAGGAATAAATATCTCTCCGGGAAGCAGAAGGGCGGAGGTGTGTGTTTCTTGATTAACGACTCATGGTGTAATTGTAGTAACATAGAGGAACTCGAGATAATTTTATTTGGTTATAGTCACGGCCATGTATATCCCCCCTCAAGCCGATACCACGACGGCCCTCAAAGAACTTCACTGGACCTTATGCAAACTGGAAAGCACATATCCTGAGGCTGCATTTATTGTAGCAGGGGATTTTAACCAAGCAAATTTGAGGACTAGGCTGCCGAAGTTCTATCAACATATCGACTGTTGTACTCGCGCTGCTAAAATCCTCGACCATTGCTATTCGAACTGGATGGTTATAAGGCCCTCCCCCACCCTTCTTTCGGCAAATCTGACCACAACTCCAATTTTGCTTCTCCCTTCCTATAGGCAGAAACTCAAACAGGAAGTACCCATGCTAAGGACTATTCAACACTGGTCTGACCAATCGGAATCCACGCTTCAAGATTGTTTTGATCACGCGGACTGGGATATGTTCCGGGTAGCTTCCGGAAATAATTTAAACGAATACACTGAAACGGTGACTGAGTTTATCAGGAAGTGTATAGGTGATGTTGTGCCCACTGTGACTATTAAAACCTACCCTAACCAGAAACCGTGGATAGATGGCAGCATTCGCGCAAATCTGAAAGCGCGAACCACCGCATTCAACCATGGCAAGGTGACTGGGAATATGGCAGAATACAAACAGTGTAGCTACTCACTCCGCAAGGCAATTAAACTGGCAAAACATCAGTATAGAGACAAAGTGGAGTCGCAATTAAACGGCTCAGACACGAGACGTATGTGGCAGGGTCTACAGACAATCACGGACTACAAAAGGAAAACCAGCCACGTCGCCGACACCGACGTCTCGCTTCCAGACAAGCTAAACACCTTCTTTGCCCGCTTTGAGGATAACACAGTGCCAGTGATGAGGCCCACTACCAAGGACTGTGGCCTCTCCTTCTCCATGGCCGACGTGATTAAGACATTTAAGCATGTTAACCCCCGCAAGGCTGCCGGCCCAGACGGCATCCCTAGCCACGTCCTCAGAGCATGAGCAGACCAGCTGGCTGGTGTGTTTACAGACATATTCAATCTCTCCCTTTCCCAGTCTGCTGTTCCCACATGCTTCAAGATGGCCACCATTGTTCCTGTACCCAAGAAAGCAAAGGTAACTGAACTAAATGACTATCGCCCTGTAGCACTCACCTCTGTCATCATGAAGTGCTTTGAGAAACTAGTCAAGGATCATATCACCTTTACATTACCTGTCACCCTAGACCCACTGCAATTTGCATACCGCCCCAATAGATCTACAGACGACGCAATCGCCATCACACCGCACACTGCCCTATCCCATCTGGACAAGAGGAATACCTATGTAAGAATGCTGTTCATTGACTATAGCTCAGCATTCAACACTATAGTACCCTCCAAGCTCATCATTAAGCTCAAGGCCCTGGGTTTGAACCCCGCCCTGTGCAACTGGGTCCTGGACTTCCTGACAGGCCGCCCCCAGGTGGTGAAGGTAGGAAACAACATCTCCACTTCGCTGATCCTCAACACTGGGGCCCCACAAGGGTGCGTGCTCAGCCCCCTCCTGTACTCCCTATTCAACCATGACCGCGTTACAAAGCACGCCTCCAACTCAATCATCAAGTTTGCAGATGACACAACAGTCGTAGGCTTGATTACCAACAATGATGAGACCGCCTACAGGGAGGAGGTGAGGGCTCTGGGAGTGTGGTGCCAGGAAAATAACCTCTCACTCAACATTAACAAAACAAAGGAGATGTTCTTGGACTTCAGGAAACAGCAGAGAGTGCACCCCCCTATCCTCATCGACGGGACTGCAGTGGAGAAGGTGGAAAGCTTCAAGTTCCTTGGCGGAGACATCACCGACAAACTGAAATGGTCCACCCACGCAGACAGTGTGGTGAAGAAGGCGCAACAGAGCCTCTTCAACCTCAGGAGGCTGAAGAAATTCGGCTTAGCACCTAAAACCCTCACAAACTTTTACAGATGCACAATTGAGAGCATCCTGTCGGGCTGTATCACCGCCTGGTATGGCAACTGCACCGCCCACAACCGCACGGCTCTCCAGAGGGTGGTGCGGTCTGCCGAACACATTACCGGGGGCAAACTACCCGCCCTCCAAGACACATACAGCACCCGATGTCACAGGAAGGCCAAAAAGATCATCAATGACATCAACCACACGAGCCACTGCCTGTTCATCCCGCTATCATCCAGAAGGCAAGGTCAGTACAGGTGCATCAAAGCTGGGACCGAGAGAATGAAAAACAGCTTCTATCTCAAGGCCATCAGACTATTAAATAGCCATCACTAGCACATTAGAGGCTGCTGCTGCCTATTGAAATCACTGGCCACTTTAAGAAATGGAACACTAGTCACTTTAATAATGTTTACATATCTTGCACTACTCATCTCATATGTATATACTGCATTCTATTCTATAATATTCTACTGTATCTTAGTCCATGCCGCTCTGTCATTGCTTGTCCATATATGTATATATTCTTAAATCCCATTCCTTACTAATTTTGTGTGTATTGGGTATATCACCAATTTGTAAGTCGCTCTGGATAAGAGCGTCTGCTAAATGATGTAAATGTAAATGTAAATGTTGTGAAATAGTTAGATATTGCTTGTTAGATATTACTGCACTGTCGGAGCTAGAAGCACAAGCATTTCGCTACACCCGCTATAACATCTGCTAAACACATGTATGTGACAAATACGATTTGATTTGATTTGATTTGGAATACTGATTGTTTGCATTGTTTTTCACTAGTTCTACAGTATAACCAAATATAAATGATTATGTTTACACTTCGTTAACTATTGGTCGTAGAATCACATAACTAATGTTAGCGACTAGCAATGCACAAAACTACATTTAGCAGGCTACTCTAGAGTCGTAGTAGAGTAACTGCCTCCCAAGCTGAGGTACAATATCCGACTGGAGCTGACAGTGACAGAGTCGCTGCCTCCCAGGCACCATGCTGTGTAGCTGTTATTGCTCTCATTGGAAGGTGCTGCCTGGGCTATAAATACCATGCCCAGGTGGAGTGAACAGAGCTGGAACATGGGGGACTGCTCTAATTGTTCTAGTTCTACATTCACACACACGCACACACACACGCGGGCACGCAAGCAAGCACACACACATTGAGAGTGAGGGAGAGAGAGGGAGAGGGAGAGGGAAAGGGAGAGGGAGAGGGAGAGAGAGGGAGAGAGAGAGAGAGATCTGCACTTCCTAACTTCCTGCCAAATGTATGACCATATTAGAGACACATATTTCCCTCAGATTACTCAGACCCACAAAGATAAACTCCCATATCTATTAAGTGAAATACCACAGTGTGCCATCACGGCAGCAAGATTTGTGACCTGTTGCCACAAGAAAAGGGCAACCAGTGAAGAACAAACACCATTGTAAATACAGCCCATATTTATGTTTAATTATTTTCTCTTTTGTACTTTAACTATTTGCACATCGTTACAACACTGTATATAGACATAATGACATCTGAAATGTCTCTATTTCTTTGAAACATTTGTGAGAGTAATGTTTACTGTTCATTTTTTATTGTTTATTTCACTTTTGTTTATTATCTATTTCACTTGCTTTGGCAATGTAAACATATGTTTCCCATGCCAATAAAGCCCTTTGAATTGAATTGAGAGAGAGACAGAGTGTGTGTGCCAGTGTTTTATGGCCATGTTGTGTAATCTCCTCACTCTTGTCTAGTCATGAAAGGAGACCTCATTAACCAGCTGTACTGCTCTCTTATCATCATCAGAGACACAGAAACACATGTGCATGCGCGCGCGCACACACACACAAAGACATGTCATGCCTCACTGCCTTCTATGGTTGTTTTGTAACAGCATCCTCTCTCTCTCTAGCCTATAATTTCTGTAGCTAGCTCCATCTCTCTTCATATCCTGTGTGTGTGTGTGTGTGTGTGTGTGTTTGTGTGTGTGTGTGTGTGTGTGTGTGTTTGTGTGTCGGGGGATAGGACCAGGCACAAAGATAGCACTTGGCGGCATTCCCAAGCATCGGGCCCAAATTTGCGGGCAATTAATACCAAGCAGAGCCCTGGGAGGCACACAAAACACACACACACACACACACACACACACACACACACACACACACACACACACACACACAGCCTAATTTCAGTGCAGCTTCAATATGAAATGGTTTATGACACAGTAATTGAATGTAGAAAATGGACACGGACCTATCTGACTCGGCAGAACACTTGAATTGACACAGTGTATTGAACTTTGATGATAACCGTGGTCTCCAGCATCTGATCATTCCAGTCCCCAAAATGGCTGTCCCCATTCTACATATTCCATCCTATACTGTGGAGGTCTGCAAACAGGCCCACTTCCTTCTCCAAACACACTTTCAGCCATTAGCCCTGACTGTGGCCCCTTGGAGGGAGTAGTGTCTGGGGCAGGGAAACTACCCATTCCCATGGCCTGGGCCTGGATCTGAGCCCTCCCACCCAGACAGACTGGAAGGCTGCCCAGAACAGGCAGGGAGGGAAGTGGGGGGGAGAGAGAGAGAACAGGAAAAGAGGGATTGAGAAGGGAGGATAAGGGAGAGAGGGGCTGGGAAGGAAATAATGGATAATTTACGACAGAAAGAAGAGATTTTCACATAAAGAAAGATACAGGAAAGAAGGAAAGATGAGGGTATGGATAATGAAAGTGGGACACAAAGTCGGCACGAGAGTGAGAGATAGCGAGAGAGAGAGAAAGAAAGAGAGAGAAGCCTCCCCGTTGGATTTAGCAATGGAAATGGGGGGAATGGGACAGGGGTGTTATTGTCTTGCCTGTGAGACTGTGCCATGTGCCCACAGGGTTAGGGAGGGCGGGGTGGCACTCTGTTTTAGGGACTTTATTTTCGCCATGACAACTTCCTGACTTTTTAATTATTTATTTATTTCACCTTTATTTAACCAGGTAAGCCAGTTGAGAACAAGTTCTCATTTACAGCTGCGACCTGGCCAAGATAAAGCAAAGCAGTGCGATAAAAACAACAACACATAGTTACATATGGGGTAAACAAAACATAAAGTCAAAAATACAACAGAAAATATATATACAGTGTGTGCAAATGTAGCAAGTTATGGAGGTAAGGCAATAAATAGGCTATAGTGCAAAATAATTACAATTTAGTATTAACACAGGAATGATAGATGTGCAAGAGATGATGTGAAAATAGAGATACTGGGGTGCAAATGAGCAAAATAAATAACAATATGGGGATGAGGTAGTTGGGTGGGCTAATTTCAGATGGGCTGTGTACAGGTGCAGTGATCGGTAAGGTGCTCTGACAACTGATGCTTAAAGTTAGTGAGGGAGATAAGAGTCTCCAGCTTCAGAGATTATAGCAGTTCGTTCCAATCATTGGCAGCAGAGAACTGGAAGGAATGGCGGCCAAAGGAGGTGTTGGCTTTGGGGATGACCAGTGAGATATATCTGCAGGAGCGCATACTACGGGTGGGTGTTGCTATGGTGACCAACGAGCTAAGATAAGGCGGGGATTTGCCTAGCAGTGATTTATAGATGACCTGGAGCCAGTGGGTTTGGCGACGAATATGTAGTGAGGACCAGGCAACAAGAGCGTACAGGTCACAGTGGTAGGTAGTATATGGGGCTTTGGTGACAAAACGGATGGCACTGTGATAGACTACATCCAATTTGCTGAGTAGAGTGTTGGAGGCTATTTTGTAAATGACATCGCCAAAGTCAAGGATCGGTAGGATAGTCAGTTTTACGAGGGCATGTTTGGCAGCATGAGTGAAGGAGGCTTTGTTGCGAAATAGGAAGCTGATTCTAGATTTAACTTTGGATTGGAGATGCTTAATGTGAGTCTGGAAGGATAGTTTACAGTCTAACCAGACACCTAGGTATTTGTAGTTGTCCACATACTCTAGGTCAGACCCGCCGAGAGTACTGATTCTAGTCGGGTGGGCGGGTGCCAGCAGCGTTCGATTGAAGAGCATGCATTTAGTTTTACTAGTGTTTAAGAGCAGTTGGAGGCTACGGAAGGAGTGTTGTATGGCATTGAAGCTCGTTTGGAGGTTTGTTAACACAGTGTCCAATGAAGTGCTAGATGTATACAAAATGGTGTCGTCTGCATAGAGGTGGATCTGAGAGTCACCAGCAGCAAGAGCGACATCATTGAGATACACAGAGAGAAGAGTCGGCCCGAGAATTGAACCCTGTGGCACACCCATAGAGACTGCCATAGGTCCAGTCAACAGCCACTCCGATTTGACACATTGAACTCTATCTGAGAAGTAGTTGGTGAACCAGGCGAGGCAGTCATTTGAGAAACCAAGGCTATTTAGTCTGCCAATAAGAATGCTAGAGACGGCTGCACAGTACTGTCTACTATCGATCACGGTTATAATATCGTTTAGGACCTTGAGCGTGGCTGAGGTGCACCCATGACCAGCTCGGAAAAACCGGATAGCATAGTGTAGAAGGTACGGTGGGATTCGAAATGGTCTGTGATCTGTTTGTTAACTTGGCTTTCAAACACTTTCGAAAGGCAGGGCAGGATGGATATAGGTCTGTAACAGTTTGGCTCTAGAGTGTCACCGCCTTTGAAGAGGGGGATGACCGCGGTGCTTTCCAATCTCTGGGGATGTCAGACGTTACAAAAGAGAGGTTGAACAGGCTAGTAATAGGAGTTGCGACAATTTCGGCTGTTAATTTTAGAAAGAAAGGGTCCAGATTGTCTAGCCCAGATGATTTGTAGGGGTCCAGATTTTGCAGCTCTTTCAGAACATCAGCTGTCTGAATTTGTGTGGAGGAGAAGCGGGGTGGGGGGGCAAGTTTCAGCGGAGGGTGCAGAGTTGGTGGCCGGGGTAGTGGTAGCCATGTGGAAAGCATGGCCAGCCGTAGCAAAATGCTTGTTGAAATTCTCGATTATTGTAGATTTATCGGGGTGATAGTGTTTCCTAGCCTCAGTGCAGTGGGCAGCTGGGAGGAGGTGCTCTTATTCTCCATGGACTTTACAGTGTCCCAAAACATTTTGGAGTTAGTGCTACAGGATGCACATTTCTGTTTAAAAAAGCTAGCCTTTGCTTTCCTAACTGCTTGTGTATATTGGTTCCTAACTTCCCTGAAAAGTTGCATATCGCCGGGGCTATTCGATGCTAATGCAGTACGCCACAGGATGTTTTTGTGCTGGTCAAGGGCAGTCAAGTCTGAGGAGAACCAGGGGCTATATCTGTTCTTAGTTCTGAGTTCTTTGAATGGGGCATGCTTATTTAAGATTGAGAGGAAAGCACTTTTAAAGAACATTGCCAAAGCAAGTGAAGTAGATAGTAAACAAAAGTGAAATAAACAATACATATTAACAGTAAACATTACACTCAGTAGTTCCAAAGGAATAAAGACAATTCAAATGCCATATTATGTATACATACAGTGTCGTAACAATGTGCAAATAGTTAAAGTACAAATGGGAAAATAAATAAACATAAATATGGGTGGTATTTACAATGGTGTTTGTTCTTCACTGGTTGCCCTTTTCTTGTGGCAACAGGTCACAAATCTTGCTGCTGTGATGGCACACTGTGGTATTTCACCCAGTAGATATGGGAGTTTATCAAAATTGGGTTTGTTTTCAAATTCTTTGTGGATCTGTGTAATCTGATGGAAATATGTGTCTCTAATATGGTCATACATTTGGCAGGAGGTTAGGAAGTGCAGCTCATTTTCCACCACATTTTGTGGGCAGTGTGCACATAGCCTGTCTTCTCTTCAGAGCCAGGTCTGCCTACGGCGGCCTTTCTCAATAGCAAGGCTATGCTCACTGAGTCTGTACATAGTCAAAGCTTTCCTTAAGTTTGGGTCAGTCACAGTGGTCAAGTATTCTGCCACTGTGTACTCTCTGTTTAGGGCCAAATAGCATTCTAGTTTGCTCTGTTTTTTTGTTAATTCTTTCCAATGTGTCAAGTAATTCCAGACACGTATATAAGAAAACGACATCTCCAAGAAACAAATACAGATCAATACAAGATGGTATATTATCTCGCTCCATTTGGCCAGAGAACCAGACACTAACACCAGTCTGTGGCCATGTCCTAAGTCTGCCTGCTACTTCCTAAAATGACATACTATGTACTAATCGTACTACATACTATTTAGAACGTATTGTTTAGTAAAAACGAATGCAGTAAGCAACAAATGTCAACATACAGTCTCATACATAATGAGAATGCGTAATCTAATGTGCGTTGATTCCCGCTATTCGTTATTTATTTATTTTTTACAGCTTGTCACCTCTGATAATCAGCTGTTGTCAAACATGTGGGTCTGGAAAGACAATTCCCTTCCTCAATAATGTGCAGCGAATTCTACTAGCTGAAAAGCCGAAATGAGTATGACATCCTGGTATTTAAAGCATACAAAAAATATATATATTTAATTTAAAACAATATATTTTCGCTACCCAAAATGCCTACTATTTAGAAGGCAAGTACGGATATTCGGACACGGCCAATGTGTATGGACCAAAGACTACCAGAGAGCCTGTATGTATGGATGTCATATATCTCTGTATCTCTTCCTTATATCACCCTCACACTGTTTCCTCATCACAGCTACATACTGGTCACTCCTCTCTCACTCTCACTCTCACTCTCACTCTCACTCTCACTCTCACGTTTCAGCTCAGAGGAGGATGAGGAAACACTGTCATGCTGTAGTGTGGTGTCTAATGCACTGCAGGTCATTTCAGTTCACTACTGGTTGCTCAGCAGTGGTTCCCTCCCAAACTCCCCTAACTCCTTTAAACAGAACTCAGGGGAGTAAAGGTATGATGAAAGCCTGATTAGTTGGACCTCGGGCTCAAAAGTGTGAGCATCCATATGCAGTCTTTGTAGAATATAGGTCTGTTTCGGGAGAGTTAAAAGTAGACATGTAGAAATGAAGGAGCTGGCATCAAAAAAAAGTATTCCTCCAAATTATTCTAAAACGTTGTAATTAAAACTGCTGTAAAGTATTTTTTTCTCTGGGCTAGCCTCCAATGTGTCCCTGAGCTGAGGAGAGAGGTCCTCTCCTCTCCTCTCCTCTCCTCCCTCTCTCTGACCTGGTTTGGACTGGCCTTTGGACTGGCATTGGCCTGGGTCTGAGTTGTGTGCATAGGCTAGGACAACCCTGGGGAAGCTGGGAGTTGTGAAGAGAAGCAGGGAGAGGAGGGAAATAGGAACGAGGGGGCGGAGGAGGGGGGAGTTTGGGGGAACGACCCTCTTACCCAGATATTGATGAGATTTTGGCTCCTGAGAAACCCCAGTAGACCTTGACAGAGGCACAGTTGAGCACCCAACCAATATCTACTTGTTTACTCTTCCCCTCTTGGTGTGACTCTTCACTCCTTTCCTCCCTCCCTTCCTCTTTCTCCCTATCTCTTCTGATTATTTTCTCACTCTCCCTTTTATTCATATTCTTACCCTCTCTTGTTCCCTATGTACAGTACCTTTCTTTCATGCTCTTTTCCCCCCTCTTTCTCCTTTCCTCCCTCCCCTGTTGGAGTTTAATAAGAAACATGTGTCTGAGATCTATGAATGTTTGATTGGGAGGGGAGTATAGGCATGATGTCATCCATGGTGAGCTGCAGAGAGTCAGTGAGCCATTAGTTTAAAACTCCCCTTACACATTTCTATAGAGGGGTGTATGTGGATGGGCATTGGTTTGTTAATTGAAATTATAAACTGGGTTGTTCGAGCCCTGAATGCTGATTGGCTGACAGCCGTGGTATATCAGATCTGTTACCACGGGTATGACAAAATATTTATTTTTACTGCTCTAATTACTTGGTAACCAGTTTATAATAGCAATAAGGCACCTGTGGTATATGGCCAATATACCACGGCTAAGGGCTGTATCCAGGCACTCCGCGTTGCATCGTGCATAATAACAACTCTTAGCCGTGGTATATTGGCCATATACCACACACCCTCATGCCTTATTGCTTAAGTATAGGATGGATTAGCACTAATCTCACTGACCTTTTACTGTGGTTGCTGTTAGCAATACTGTTGTTTAAAAGGTAGTTACAGATTCTGTTGCAGGTGAAAAGAGAGGGAGCAGAGAAGGAGTGGGAGATGGGTTTTATCCTTGCTTTTAATTGGCTATCAATGTTCTGTATACTAATGAGTGCAGTGGTGCATCCTGGGAAGGGACTAATGGGGGTTGTAAAGTAACCCCACAACAGAAAGCATCAATCCAGCTACTGACTCAGTGGATAATTACACACACACACATGCATATATACACACAAAGAGAAAGTAAACCAATCGCAGAAGTAATCTCACTATGAAATTAAAACCCCACTGTGAAGTGTGAGTGTACACTAATTTATTCTTACTATGTTACCTCCCATTCCATACAGTGAGGGAAAAAAGTATTTGATCCCCTGCTGATTTTGTACGTTTGCCCACTAACAAAGAAATGATCAGTCTATAATTTTAATGGTAGGTTTATTTGAACAGTGAGAGACAGAATAACAACAAAGAAATTCAGAAATACGCATGTCAAAAATGTTATAAATTGATTTTTCATTTTAATGAGGGAAATAAGTATTTGACCCCCTCTCAATCAGAAAGATTTCTGGCTCCCAGGTATCTTTTATACAGGTAACGAGCTGAGATTAGGAGCACACTCTTAAAGGGAGTGCTCCTAATCTCAGCTTGTTACCTGTATAAAAGACACCTGTCCACAGAAGCAATCAATCAATCAGATTCCAAACTCTCCACCATGGCCAAGACCAAAGAGCTCTCCAAGGATGTCAGGGACAAGATTGTAGACCTACACAAGGCTGGAATGGGCTACAAGACCATCGCCAAGCAGCTTGGTGAGAAGGTGACAACAGTTGGTGCGATTATTCGCAAATGAAAGAAACACAAAATTACTGTCAATCACCCTCGGCCTGGTGCTCCATGCAAGATCTCACCTCGTGGAGTTGCAATGATCATGAGAACGGTGAGGAATCAGCCCAGAACTACACGGGAGGATCTTGTCAATGATCTCAAGGCAGCTGGGACCATAGTCACCAAGAAAACAATTGGTAACACACTACGCCGTGAAGGACTGAAATCCTGCAGCGCCCGCAAGGTCCCCCTGCTCAAGAAAGCACATATACAGGCCCGTCTGAAGTTTGCCAATGAACATCTGAATGATTCAGAGGAGAACTGGGTGAAAGTGTTGTGGTCAGATGGGACCAAAATCAAGCTCTTTGGCATCAACTCAACTTGTCGTGTTTGGAGGAGGGGGAATGCTGCCTATGACCCCAAGAACACCATCCCCACCGTCAAACATGGAGGTGGAAACATTATGCTTTGGGGGTGTTTTTCTGCTAAGGGGACAGGACAACTTCACCGCATCAAAGGGACGATGGACGGGGCCATGTACCGTCAAATCTTGGGTGAGAACCTCCTTCCCTCAGCTAGGGCATTGAAAATGGGTCGTAGATGGGTATTCCAGCATGACAATGACCCAAAACACACGGTCAAGGCAACAAAGGAGTGGCTCAAGAAGAAGCACATTAAGGTCCTGGAGTGGCCTAGCCAGTCTCCAGACCTTAATCCCATAGAAAGTCTGTGGAGGGAGCTGAAGGTTCGAGTTGCCAAACGTCAGGCTCGAAACCTTAATGACTTGGAGAAGATCTGCAAAGAGGAGTGGGACAAAATCCCTCCTGAGATGTGTGCAAACCTGGTGGCCAACTACAAGAAACGTCTGACCTCTGTGATTGCCAACAAGGGTTTTGCCACCAAGTACTAAGTTATGTTTTGCAGAGGGGTCAAATACTTATTTCCCTCATTAAAATGCAAATCAATTTATAATATTTTTGACATGCGTTTTTCTTAATTTTGTTGTTGTTATTCTGTCTCTCACTGTTCAAATAAACCTACCATTAAAATTATAGACTGATCATGTCTTTGTCAGTGGGCAAATGTACAAAATCAGCAGGGGATCAAATACTTTTTTCCCTCACTGTATATGGTGCTATTATGGTGCTACGTTATACCATACTTCCTGCTCTAATGATCTGTGTGTGTGCACACGTGCAGGCCGCCAGGGTTTCCGTTAGCCGGCAATGGCTTTTTTTTAAAGCTGATAAATAGAACTGTTGCCTAGCCCAAAAATGCCTGGGTGAAAAATAAATATTTTTATTCATTGATGTAAATACCAGTCGATGTAAATACATTTGACCATCATGCTTATCGATCTATAGGGCCATTTGCATAATTTAGTGGAATAGAATTGGCCTGTGTATTTTTGTTAGTCATCGTGTATCATTTATCCAACACAACTATCACACGGGTGCAGCATACAGAGCCTATTTTGAGCTGGATTTATCCTGCAGCTCCTCAGCTGGTTGGTGCTGGAGTAAAACATGTGCAACAATTCTGAATGCAATTGTGTTAAAAACAGTTTTGGTGCACGATTAAAAAGAGCTAGCGTGGAACCCCGTATTATCGGCATGTTCAACAGCGTTTAAGAAATATATTACCTTCAACAGTGTTATCTTGTGATCAAGCCATCAAAGTTTTGTGATTATTGGTGTCGTAAAAATGTTAGCTAACGGGTTAGCAATTAGCATGTTTGACATTTCAGTGGAAATACTACTATTATCAGCTTTTTGATAAGCGGTTTAGCAAAAGAAATACGTCCCGTATTATCGGCATACGGTCCCCAGTTATCGGCCACCTTACTATTTTGTTCAATTACAAGATATATCCATTTAATTTTGTTGAAAAAAGAGACACCAACCTCGTATCCGAAATGTTTATTAGATGGTTGACTAGTTGGCTAGCCTTCCGGTAAAAAATTATGACTTGCCTGTCAACTTTTCATTGCATAGCACGGTGCGCCCTCCTGTGGACTCTTAAGAATTGGTTCTTCCCCAACATATTATTCAGTGTTGTAACCAAATAATGTCTCATCGTTTGTTTTACAGATTAATCTTATGTTTTGAGAAAGTAGATAACAGTTGAATACTAAAATATTAGTATTAATAATTTACATAAAATAAAACTTTAATTTCAGTTATGTGTATTGACATAAACAATGAAAACACTGTTGAAGTTTGTGTTGCAGAGGTGCACTTGGAAAGTAAAGGAAGAAATACACAAGATGGGTTGTATAAATATATATATATATTATATTTTAGACATTTATTTTTTTGTACAAATAAATAATTTCATATGAACACAAACAAACAAACAAACAATGAAATCTCGACCTCCATCCCTATATTGTCACAAAAATCACAATAAAAATCCAGCTCCACCGCTACCTCTGGATCCCACTGCACACACCTGCAGTGGAACCAGTGCTGGCAGAAGTCACAGCACACCCATGGCTCCTCGGATCTACACTCCTGAGGGGAGCTTGCAGGCGGATCATGCTCCCCGCAGCGAGCACAGCAGGTGGTGTCTTCTTTTATAAAAAATAAAATAATAATAAAAATTGATTAATATGGTTTTGCAAAATATAGAAGTTCTTCAACAACAATAGTAATTGATACAACTGAGAGAGAGAGAAAAACAGATTATGAAGTACTTGAGAGTGGTGCCATGGATGGCGTGACCGGTGGAGCTTTTCTCTTCCTTTTCTGTGCTGCAGTTTGAGAAAAAGTAGTGTTAGACAGAGCATGTTGCATGAAAACCCTTTTCAACTTTTTTTACATCAATACCTCTGGAGGAAGCTGCAGAAGTTTTGGAGGAGGTGGAGATGACTTGAGGGCTGGTGCTATGGACTGTAGATATGTAAAGAGAGATTATTTTTTTTACATTGCTGTTTTATAAAACAGATAACAGTCATTTTTTCGTAATTTAACATGTGTTCACCTGTGGAGGTGGCGGAATTCAAATTGCAGGGGGCAGGGACACCAGACGAGGCTGCTATGGTGGTGTGACCAGGGGAGACGGAGGAGGCAGTTGGTCCAGAGGAGGCCGTGTTGGTGGTGACAGACAGGGGGGGTGGTGTGCATCGTGGTGGTGGACAAAACCGCCGACGATGGCTTGGAGGAGCTGGTGTTTGTAATGGTGGGGTTGTGGGGCCGACGATGGTGTGGCCGGGAGAGTAGGCACGTGGCCTTCTTCTGCAGCTGGGGACTCCGGCGGCTCCTACAGGTGTTGCACACTGGGAGGCACTGGTATTGGTGATGCAGCTGTCAGGAGTGGTTCCAGCAGGTGGTCCAGCAGAGGCGATGGCGTCAATGGTCTCATCCATGGCAGCCCTCTCCTGTGCCCTCTGTGTTCTGAGGGCTGCCCGACGCTCTTTCTCCTCTGCCTCGGCCCTCTCCTTCTCACCCCTCTCCTGCCACTGGCGCGTGTATTCCTCCCCGGTGAGGCATGTGGTGACCACAGGGAGTCTTCTGTATCGGTCCAGCCGATACTTCAGGACAGTAAGGATGTACCCCAGGTCCTTCGCTATCAGCCCCCCCTCTATTCAACAGGGGCTGGGACTGGAGCAGGGGCTGAGGGTCCTCCTGTGGTCACTGGGGAGGAGGTGCTGATGGACGGCACAGTGCTGCTGGTTCCAGGAGAGGCGGTGGTGGGACCCGGTAGGGACCGAGACGGCATTAAACGGGACCCTTCAATGGCTGAAAGGTCAAAAGGGAAGAGGCCACACTTTTTAAACCCTTCCACCACATAGCGCATGTCCTTGCATCGCTGGTACGGGTAGCGGAATACTCTGGCAAATTCTGATTTGTTTACCATTTAGGAGTGGGGGGATCCCAGTGTGTAGTGGCCACCGGGGAAACACTTGGGGTAGATGATAAATGGGGGGATGTCCTCCCCAGCTGCGTTGAAGCATGCCAGCACTGTGATGTGCTCCTTGGGCCCCAGCACTTTGTGCCTGCTCTGGTCGCTATGAAACCCAGACTCATTGCAGTTATAGATTTGTCTGGGTTTCTCCCTCAACCCACTCTCCTCCAAGTGCTTCTCATAAGAAGTGAAGAAGGTGTCCATCGTCGGATGTGTGGCACACTCAGCTCTCCCCCTGTCCAGGGTGTCCGGCCTCCTCATGCTCAGGTTCTTGTGCCTCCTCCTGAACATTTCCCACCACCTCTTCCCCAGTGGTGGGATTGTTTCATTTTAGTCATTTAGCAGACGCTCTTATCCAGAGCGACTTACATTATTGAGTGCATACATAACATTTTTAATTTTTTTTCATACTGGCCCCCCCTGGGAATCAAACTCACAACCCTGCCGTTGCAAACGCCATGCTCTACCAATGAGCTACATCCCTGCCGGCCATTCCCTCCCCTACCCTGGACAACGCTGTGCCAATTGTGCGCCACCCCATGGGTCTCCCGGTCACGGCCGGCTACGACAGAGCCTGGATTCGAACCAGGATCTCTAGTGGCACAGCTAGCACTGCGATGCAGTGCCTTAGACCAATGCGCCACTCGGGAGACGGGAGGTTTCCCCTGGGTGCCGAAACCTACAATAGAATAGAATATATAATAGTCCATCAAGGATGAAAATGTTTGTTTTGGCATCACCATCCACATCCACATTTACGTCACACACATTGAGAACAGTCAGTCCACCAAACTACATACATAAACACATAAAACACCAAATACCTGCGTATTTTGTCGGCGTATTTCATCCTCTGGTGCAAGCAATGTGGGTGGTCCACTGCGACAACCATGGGTCACCCGGCCGCTCAGCCTGTCCGCCAGGGTCTGCCGAGGTACACCATGCACCTTGGTAGATAAGAAAAGAAAACTGTTACTAGCAGATAAAATTCACATACACATGGTAATCTCCTAAAAACAAAAGATGCCTAACCTTGGCAGCCTGGCGGATAGCCACCCCTGCCCCGCAGTCCTCCATGGCATGGAACATGTCCACCTCACTCCACTGCTTCCTCTTGACTTTCTCCATACTGTGGTGTTAATACATGTAGCTAAATAACTTTGCATACTATACACATTTTAGAAAGATAACTCAATCTGAATATGTATAATCATTTCCATTTCAAAGCTAAGGCACTGAAAGGTGATGAAAGTTTTCACAATAACTGAAAGTGTACCCACGTTTCTTGTTTGATGTTATCTGTAATGAAAATTAGTGTCCCAATTAGTTTAATATTGATGCATACATTGTAACATTTCACTAAATACTACCTCTATGTAGCTGTTGTAAGATGAAACATAGCCAACAGTGATAGGTGTCAAAAAGTTCATGGTTCCAAGTTCCAAATTTTTTTTTGCAGATTGTGCAAAACGCCTCTGTCAGAGGACTCCAATTTTGATACGGTAAAGCTTGACAACATTCAGCTGTTTTGGTGATATGTATTATCTAACGCTATACAATTTCTTTCCTTTTTGCTTACTTAGCAGTTCTATCAACATTTAGCAACTAAGCTAGCAACATTAGAAAATCCGTTAGCTATATTTCAGAGGTAAAAAGTTGGATATTCAATTATGTGTGGTCTGTCGCGCAGTCAAATTTTACAATATGCAGCGTGTTCCACAAAATGTGTACATATATAACTTTTGAAAACTCTCAAAAACTAACTTAACTTACATAAATTGCACTGAAAATCAGTGGTCAGCTAGCGACTTACTGTTATTTTCCAGTCCATTTAAATGTTGAGCTCGAGGTGATTTAGTCCTCCAACCCCTAGAGAGTGTCCGAAGTTAGGGGGAAAATTAGCTAGGCCGACTATTTTTATTTCTCAACTGGTAATTGAAGCCTGGCTCTCATTCACCATTCAAGTGCCAGCAACAGGCTATCAGCGCGTCACCCACCACTTTACAATGTGAGCTGGAGGCAGCATGCATTTAGTAAACATACTTAATTGTTTGAAACCTGAATGTTTTTTTCCATATAATTTTTTTTATAGCTTACTGTGAGGAACTATAGTTTTAATATATTATAATTCGCAATGGATGTTAAAAAACACTTTCCTACATTTCCGAGCAGTAGGCCAAGTACTTCTATGCTTACTCAAGTGCGCACTCCCTCAACATTATCAGGACAGAGAAACCAGACACAGTCTCATTGCTCACATGGAACAATCCAAATAAAAGACAATGAAAAAATGTCCAAATCTTGTAAATGATGGTTATTTATTAAATAAACCAAAACTTAGTGTAGTAGGTTGTGAATTCTGCAAAAAAAAGTTTCCACTCTGAGAATGAGAACGGTAAATATTAATATTAATTATTAATGAATACATGCATTCATATAAATTAATTTAACCAAATGACGGGCATTAATGGTGCATTTACTGTAATGGGGAATTTATAACAAATTCAATATTCAAAGGGCAAACAATTCACACAATTAAACAATGTTCTGTGCTAGCAGTAACATTACAGTCTTCCCATCCTGTCCTCTGAGTCACATTTATGTTGTGCAATGTGGCAGTAGTTCGCCTGTCTTTGGCATAGGTTAAGTTATCAGGCCTAGGCTTCTTCTTGGCATCCCCTAATCAGATGTTAGCCGGCTCTTTGGAGGTCTGGGGTGTAGATGTAGTTATTTTGTCTTCAATGCATATAGACCCTTTGTCTTCTGGACTGAAAGAAGATAAAACATATTTGGTGAAATATTCATTGAATCAAGGAAATGTCAATGCCTTCCTTAAAATAACAGTTTCCATTGGAATTTTGCCTTGAGTGAGCAATAGTAATATAATATTTCACCCAATAGCTGAGGGAGACTTACATCATTTGGAGTTCTGCATGGCTAATCTGTGGTGTATATAATTCAAGACTTCCAGCAATAAGGCCCCAGCCTTGTGCACCTGAGGATAGAAGGCAAACACAAACAAATACTTAGCTACTTGCATAGCCAACATGGGGATGTGATTCTGGAATAAATGAAAAATAGATTCAAAATTGAATCCCTTCTACATTACTACAGAGATCACCTCTTCACACATCAACACTTGCTATTCATGGGTTGCACGTTTCATCACAATAAACATTATTTTGAAGACTGATGCCCGACTGAACATTCTATTCAAAGCAGATATTTCAAAAGGAGGCAAATAATTAGTATGAAAATCTTTTGTCATCACTGTGATGTCGCCAGATTGTCTGTAGATGCAGTATAACTTTAGCTAAATAGCTACATTGCATGGGCCTAAAGGAGTGCTGACAAGTATTTTTCTCCGCTCATACAGGAGTAATAAAGGCCTATATATATATATACACTACCGTTCAAAAGTTTGGGGTCACTTAGAAATGTCCTTGTTTTCCATGAAAACATACATGAAATGAGTTTGAATATGAAATATAGCAAAATGAATAGGAAATGTAGTCATTGACAAGGTTAGAAATAATGATTTTTAATTGAAATAATAATTGTGTCCTTCAAACTTTGCTTTCGTCAAAGAATCCTCCATTTGCAGAAATTACAGCCTTGCAGACCTTTGGCATTCTAGTTGTCAATTTGTTGAGGTAATCTGAAGAGATTTCACCCCATGCTTCCTGAAGCACCTCCCACAAGTTGGATTGGCTTGATGGGCACTTCTTACGTACCATACGGTCAAGCTGCTCCCACAACAGCTCAATAGGGTTGAGATCCGGTGACTGTGCTGGCCTCTCCATTACAGACAGAATACCAGCTGACTGCTTCTTCCCTAAATAGTTATTGCATAGTTTGGAGCTGTGCTTTGGGTCATTGTCCTGTTGTAGGAGGAAATTGGCTCCAATCAAGCGCCGTCCACCGGGTATGGCATGGCGTTGCAAAATGGAGTGATAGCCTCTTTACCACCATCAAAGCACCCCCATACCATCACATTGCCTCCACCATGCTTGACAGATGGCATCAAGCACTCCTCCAGCATCTTTTCATTTGGTCTGCGTCTCACAAATGTTCTTCTTTGTGATCCGAACACCTCAAACTTCGATTCGTCTGTCCATAACACTTTTTTCCAATCTTCCTCTGTCCAGTGTCTGTGTTATTTTGCCCATCTTAATCTATTCTTTTTATTGGCCAGTCTGAGATATGGCTTTTTCTTTGCAACTCTGCCTAGAAGGTCAACATCCCGGAGTCGCCTCTTCACTGTTGACGTTGAGACTGGTGTTTTGTGGGTACTATTTAATGAAGCTGCCAGTTGAGGACCTGTGAGGCGTCTATTTCTCAAACTAGACACTCAAATGTATTTGTCCTCTTGCTCAGTTGTGCACCGGGGCCTCCCACTCCTCTTTCTTTTCTGGTTAGAGCCAGTTTGCGCTGTTCTGTGAAGGGAGTAGTACACAGCGTTGTACGAGATCTTCAGTTTCTTGGCAATTTCTCGCATGGAATAGCCTTCATTTCTCAGAACAAGAATAGACTGACGAGTTTCAGAAGAAAGTTATTTGTTTCTGGCCATTTTGAGCCTGTAATCGAACCCACAATTGCTGATGCTCCAGATACTCAACTAGTCTCAAGAAGGCCAGTTTTATTGCTTCTTTAATCAGCACAACAGTTTTCAGCTGTGCTAACATAATTGCAAAAGGGTTTTATAATGATCAATTAGTCTTTTAAAATGATAAACTTGGATTAGCAAACACAACGTGCCATTGGAACCTCTGTACGCCTATGTAGATATTCCATAAAAAATCTGCTGTTTCCAGCTACAATAGCCATTTACAACATTAACAATATTTACATTTACATTTACGTCATTTAGCAGACGCTCTTATCCAGAGCGACTTACAAATTGGTGCATTCACCTTATAGCCAGTGGGATAACCACTTACTACACTGTATTTCTGATCAATTTGATGTTATTGTAATGGACAAAAAAATTGCTTTTCTTTCGAAAACAAGGACATTTCTAAGTGACCCCAAACTTTTGAACGGTAGTGTATATATATATGTTTTTAAAATACTGCTTGACTGAGGGACCTTACACATAATTGTACGTGTGGGATACAAAGATGAGGTAGTCATTCTAAAATCAGGATAGGTAGGTGTGAGTCCATGCAACTTATTATGTGACTTGTTAAGCAAATATTTAGTCCTGAATTCAGTTAGGCTTGCCATAACAAAGGGGTTGAATACTTACTGACTCAAGACATTTCAGCTTTTCATTTGTAATAAATATTGTTTTTAAATGTCCACTTTGACATTATGGGGTATTGTATTTATTGCTTTGAAATGTATTACATGGCATATAGACTGACAGAGAATGGTAGAGAAAAGCTGTGAAATCTGAATACACCTCCCCCACCTGGAGAGAGAGAGAGAGAGAGAGAGAGAGAGAGAGAGAGAGAGAGAGAGAGAGAGAGAGAGAGAGAGAGAGAGAGAGAGAGAGAGAGAAATGAATGAAGGAAGGGGTTAGCGAGATTGTAGTGCCTCAAAATGTTCAAAGGCTGATCAATACACATTCACAAGCAAATCATTAATCACACTCAGACAGCTCTGGTTTCTGATTGGCTCAGTTGGGGTTTATTATTGGCCAATCATTAATCACACCCAGACAGCTCTTGGCTGCTTTTGGCTCAGATGGGACAGATTGTGTTTTACCTTATCGGTTTAAATAAACAAAGGCCATTACTTTACCCAATAGTTTAAGAGCCTCAGTGTGTGTTATGAGTGTATATCTAGTTGTGTATATGAGTGTATATCTTTCTGATATGACTGTAATCCTAAGTGATGCTCGACCTTCTCCCTGTCAATGGGACAGTTGGACATGCGTCTCTCTGAGCCTCGCATCCCCTGTCACCATAGAAACTCCCCATTCGGAGCTGGTGGAACAAAAACTGCTCTCTCTTAGCTAAATGTAAAGGTGGTTCTGCAGGCTATATTTGGAGAGGTGGAGCTGGAACTAGGCTAAACTAAGCAACAGCAGCACATCCATTACTCTGCTAGTGTTATCAGAGAGAGAGAATGCAGGTTTCAACAGGCTCCTCTCTCTGGTCTCTAGCCATCTGTAGCTAACTATCTGAATGGACCACTACTCCACCAACCCCCAGGGAGGCCTTTGAAGAGGGATTACAGTATGACCTCAGCTGTGGTTTGTGTGGAAGGGATGTGTGAGTGTGTTTTAGCTTTTCCACCAAACAGGGTTGTGTGTTAGTGTGTATTTGTGTGTGTGTGTGTGTGTGTGTGTGTGTGTGTGTGTGTGTGTGTGTGTGTGTGTGTGTGTGTGTGTGTGTGTGTGTGTGTGTGTGTGTGTGTGTGTGTGTGTGTGTGTGTGTGTGTGTGTGTGTATGTATGTATGCTTTTCCACCAAATGAACAGACTGGTAGTCTCTCAGGTAAGGGTTAGTAGTTGGTACACTACAATAGGCTGTATAGCCCCCATATGACTTCCATGTTAGCCTGTCATTAGCTTCCTGAAAGCTGATTGGACAGATGGCAGGTCACAGGAGCCTTCAGGGAGTTCTCCCACATTCCATGACTCACACACCCACACAGGGGAGGGAGGAGAGCGAAGCGGAGGGGAGCCAAGCAGGGGAAGGAGGAGGGGGTAAAAATGACATAGACCATGGGAACGGCCCAAAGGAAAACACAGCTCAGACTCCAGATGTGGATACACCCTGTTTTAAACACACACACACAGACAGTGAAAATGTAGAGGGAGGGGGTAGTTGGGAGGGCTGTAAAGCTATTCCCAGAGCTGTGCTTGGCAGCTGGTGATTGGCTGGCCTGTTGCTCATGTGAACTGGACTTGGCAAGTATACTGCCCTTGTTTCAGGAGAGACAAAGGCACAGAAAGAGAGAAACAATGGAAAGAAAGGGCAAGAGAAATATTTAAAAGTATGAAGAGAATGAACAAAACCGAAAAGACTGTTAGTGTGTGTTCTGTATGAGGTCATATCTTTTCCACAGAATACATATACAGTTAGTACTGTCCTACGATTCACACACACACAGTTCTTATATCCTTGTGGGGACCTAAAATGTATTTACATTAAAAATCATATTGTCCCTAACGCCTAACCCTAACCCTAACCTTAACCCGTAACACAAATTCAAACCTAAACCTAACTCCTAACCCTAAACCTAACCACTAACCCCTTACCCTAATTATAACCCTAATTCTAACCCTAAACCTAACCCCTAAGCTTAAAATAGCCTTTGTCCTCATGGGGACGTGGGAAATGTCCCCACGAGGGAGAATTTTCCTTGTTTTACTACTGTGTCCTTGTGGGGACTTTTGGGGATTTTAGGTCCCCACAAGGATAGAAGAACCAACTCACACACACACACACACTTTTAATGATGCCATCAAGAATTGCCCCTATCGACACATTGTGTTGGCTAAAGTTTTTACTACAGGCCACTTCCTGTTTACACTGTGTCGTTTCTTGAGGTGAGCATGACGTAGTGGGCATGGTAACTAACAGCTGCCACAAACAGGAGTGAATGTGAGAGACCTTCACTCAGGTAGAGATAGAGAGAACCTGTCTGTGCTCCATAGGAAGGGAACTGCCTTGGCCCCATTTAAGGAAAATTACCTGTTGTCATGGCAATGAGATAGCCACAGTGTCTCCTGGGAGTTTGTAGCAGAAATTGTGCCACTCTAGAACAGCAGTCATCAGTGTGCATGCATGTATATTTGTTGCACCTGTTAGGCCAGTAATACCACATATCAGTTCAATTAGTACAGTATTCTCACTAACGGGTGCAACAAATATAGCCCCTTACGAGGCACGCCTCGAAATATGTTAATGAGCCAGCGATTCTTTCCCCTCCCACAACATTTTACCATAATGCACCATAATTCACAGTAGGCTGCTGTAAATATACAGCAAAAAAGGTAATACAGTGCTTTACTGCAAAATTGTACAGCAGTGTAGTGGAATGCCGTTGAGCCCCCATAATGCATTGCTCTTTACAGTACTGTACTTTAGAATTACAGTAGATAGCTGTACAAATTTTGCTGTACATTTACAAGCAATTTGTTACGGTGTGTGTGTGCGTTTGCTGGATGTTTTGTTGTGGTTCCTGAGGGGTTCTGAGTTATGCTGTCTCTTTCATGTGGTTGTGTCAGCGAAACTGATACAGTGAGGGAAGGAAGTATTTGATCCCCTGCTGATTTTGTACGTTTGCCCACTGACAAAGACATGATCAGTCTATAATTTTAATGGTAGGTTTATTTGAACAGTGAGAGACAGAATAACAACAAAACGCATGTCAAAAATGTTATAAATTGATTTGCATTTTAATGAGGGAAATAAGTATTTGACCCCTTTGCAAAACATGACTTAGTACTTGGTGGCAAAACCCTTGTTGGCAATCACAGAGGTCAGACGTTATTTGATCACCTACCAACCAGTAAGAATTCCGGCTCTCACAGACCTGTTAGTTTTTCTTTAAGAAGCCCTCCTGTTCTCCACTCATTACCTGTATTAACTGCACCTGTTTGAACTCGTTACCTGTATAAAAGACAACTGTCCACACACTCAATCAAACAGACTCCAACCTCTCCACAATGGCCAAGACCAGAGAGCTGTGTAAGGACATCAGGGATAAAATTGTAGACCTGCACAAGGCTGGGATGGGCTACAGGACAATAGGCAAGCAGCTTGGTGAGAAGGCAACAACTGTTGGCGCAATTATTAGAAAATGGAAGAAGTTCAAGATGACGGTCAATCACCCTCAGTCTGGGGCTCCATGCAAGATCTCACCTTGTGGGGCATCAATGATCATGAGGAAGGTGAGGGATCAGCCCAGAACTACACGGCAGGACCTGGTCAATGACCTGAAGAGAGCTGGGACCACAGTCTCAAAGAAAACCATTAGTAACACACTACGCCGTCATGGATTAAAATCCTGCAGCGCACGCAAGGTCCCCCTGCTCCATCCAGTGCATGTCCAGGCCCGTCTGAAGTTTGCCAATGACCATCTGGATGATCCAGAGGAGGAATGGGAGAAGGTCATGTGGTCTGATGAGACAAAAATAGAGCTTTTTGGTCTAAACTCCACTCGCCGTGTTTGGAGGAAGAAGAAGGATGAGTACAACCCCAAGAACACCATCCCAACTGTGAAGCATGGAGATGGAAACATCATTCTTTGGGGATGCTTTTCTGCAAAGGAGACAGGACGACTGCACCGTATTGAGGGGAGGATGGGTGGGGCCATGTATCGCGAGATCTTGGCCAACAACCTCCTTCCCTCAGTAAGAGCATTGAAGATGGGTCGTGGCTGGGTCTTCCAGCATGACAATGACCCAAAACACACAGCCAGGGCAACTTGGGAGTGGCTCCGTAAGAAGCATCTCAAGGTCCTGGAGTGGCCTAGCCAGTCTCCAGACCTGAACCCAATAGAAAATCTTTGGAGGGAGCTGAAAGTCCGTATTGCCCAGCGACAGCCCCAAAACCTGAAGGATCTGGAGAAGGTCTGTATGGAGGAGTGGGCCAAAATCCCTGCTGCAGTGTGTGCTAACCTGGTCAAGACCTACAGGAAACGTATTATCTCTGTAATTGAAAACAAAGGTTTCTGTACCAAATATTAAGTTCTGCTTTTCTGATGTATCAAATACTTATGTCATGCAATAAAATGCTAATTAATTACTTAAAAAACAAACAATGTGATTTTCTGGATTTTTGTTTTAGATTCTGTCTCTCACAGTTGAAGTGTACCTATGATAAAATTAAAGACCTCTACATGCTTTGTAAGTAGGAAAACCTGCAAAATCAGCAGTGTATCAAATACTTGTTCTCCCCACTGTATGTGCTTTCTTGAGCAGGGGGACCTTGCGGGCGCTGCAGGATTTCAGTCCTTCACGGCGTAGTGTGTTACCAATTGTTTTCTTGGTGACTATGGTCCAGCTGCCTTGAGATCATTGACAAGATCCTCCCGTGTAGTTCTGGGCTGATTCCTCACTGTTCTCATGTTCATTGCAACTCCACGAGGTGAGATCTTGCATGGAGCCCCAGGCCGAGGGAGATTGACAGTTCTTTTGTGTTTCTTCCATTTGCGAATAATCGCACCAACTGTTGTCACCTTCTCACCAAGCTGCTTGGCAATGGTCTTGTAGCCCATTCCAGGCTTGTGTAAGTCTACAATCTTGTCCCTGACATCCTTGGAGAGCTCTTTGGTCTTGGCCATGTTTGAGAGTTTGGAATCTGATTGATTGATTGCTTCTGTGGACAGGTGTCTTTTATACAGGTAACAAGCTGAGATTAGGAGCACTCCCTTTAAGAGTGTGCTCCTAATCTCAGCTCGTTACCTGTATAAAAGACACCTGGGAGACAGAAATCTTTCTGATTGAGAGGGGGTCAAATATGTTTTTCTGGATTTTGTTGTTGTTATTCTGTCTCTCACTGTTCAAATAAACCTACCATTAAAATTATAGACTGATCATTTCTTTGTCAGTGGGCAAACGTACAAAATCAGCAGGGGATCAAATACTTTTTTCCCTCACTGTAGTATCCTGATAGAGAGTGTGACTAATTCTATTCTGAAAAACACTGGCCATTCTGAGAATGGGGCAACAGTGCCTCCTTGTGTCTGAGATATGTAAATGCTGTATTTTCTCCTGTGTGTGTGTGTGTGTGTGTGCATAAATTACTAAATACAACTGCAAAATACCCTAAAGACCAATGTATCAAAATAAAATATAATATACTTTTGCAAAGTATTGTATTGAATTAAATACATGTATTTTGTATTTTAAAATATCAAAATACATTTGTAAGTTGCCGGCCGAACAGCAACAACATTCTCATTAACGGTTACAGAAACGTCTTACTTTCTATGACTGTGATATGTTGTCACTCTGGATAAGAGCATCTGCTAAATTACCAAAATGTATATGTGAAAATGAACCACTTCAAAGCACACTGGGTATTGTCACTGGCCTTGTTTACGGGGTGGAGCTCATTAGAGTAATACGTTTACATTTAGTTAGCTATAAAGAAATGGGATAGAAAAGTATTTTATATTTTGAAAATACAAATTACAGCTTTCAAAAGTATCTTCTTGCAAAATACATTGGAGTGTAGTTCAGCCCAGTGTAATACAACATACAGAATACTCAGAAGTAATTCAAATACATGTAACAGAAAAACTCCCCATCTGTGTGTGTGTTTGTGCTGACAGTGTGCTCACGTGTTTTCAGCACTAACAGTGTGTGTTTTCTCTTTCCTCAGGAGGTGCAGAGTAAGAGTAAGGTGTGTGCCAATGTGTTTTGTGGCGCAGGAAGGGAGTGTGTCGTCACTGAGAAGGGAGAGCCCAGCTGCTTGTGTATAGAGGTGAGTCGTTTGTGTGTGAGTGTGTGTATTCCTACATTATCAGGACCACAAGTCACCAGAATGTCTTGACAAGGAAGGAAAACAAGACAATTTTGAAAAGTCAGGACCTTTTTCATGTCCTGAATTTGTAAAAATTATATTTTAGGCGTAAGGGTTAGGTTTGGGGTTAGGTTTAGGGAAGGGGTTGTGCTTCTTCTTCTTTGACGTCCTTTACAGTGGTGCCTAGTGACTCAGATCAACAGTTGCGCTCAGCTCAACGTTGGGGTCGCTGTTGAGTAAGTTTGAGGGGTGAATGTAGCACATGGGGATATGTGAAACTTTTTTCTTTAAGGGGTTAGATCAGCTTTAATATTGCAGATAGATTGCGTCTTCTATCAGTGTAATTGTCTGCATCTTCTCCAATACCCCCATATATTATTTTAAATATATATTTTTTTTTTTCCTTTTCCTTTTTATTTTTTCCCCCTAACCCTACCATCCCTCCCCTAATTGGAGTAAACTAATGGACAACAATACTTAGGCTTCCACTTCCAGCTTATACATACCACATCAATTTCACAGACAGTATATTTTACATTAGTTATCTTTTGTTTGTTTTTAGTCCCAGCCTTCAGCTACACTCAACCCCTCCCATCTATCTCTGAAGACCATCTAGTTTTGATTTCTAGTTGGCAAATATTGTTCTACTGTGCTGTGATGTTTCACAAAAGTTCTGAACCTTTCTATTCTCATAGTTTCTACAGATTGTAAATGAAAGATAAACACCTTTGCTGAGAGTATTATTATATTATTGATCGATTGAATATTACTTTTCAAATCACCCAGAAGTGCTATTTACAGAGTTAGTTCTAAGTAAATGTTGCAATTTTTCAGCCATTTCATTCCAAAAACAAGCTACATATGGGCAGTACCAAAACAAGTGATCTAGTAATTATGTCTCTTCGCAGCAAAAACTGCAGAGCTGGGATGGTTGTATCCCTCATATACAGTATATAACATTATGTTGGTTGAAAGAATTGTGTATAATATTTTAAATTTAAAAACTCTTAAGTTTTGAATCCGGCTTTGTTTTGTAAATCAGTTTATAAATTAGTACATTGAAAATCTCCTCCCAAATATTTTGCAACCTGTATGGCGCATGGTCCTTAAATGAAACTGGTACACTTTTTTACTTATCACAATTTTCTTTAGCCAATTTTGGTCTTTAATGCAGGGACAACAGACACTTTCCTTACCTTCTCCATTTTCCACTTGCCTCCTCCATTTTTGTGGTAATGCTGCAATCAGCTGGTTGTAATTTGGGATATAGCAGACATTTCCATATATTTTTGTTAACTGCATGTGTGACATAACTCCACCAGTCCTATTTATTATATAATTTACAAAGATTATACCGTTTTTAGTTTTTTAAATGCATCAATTAGTATATTTGAGTTTACCATAATATTAGTATTTTCTGGTGGATTAAACTGAAATTGCAACCAGCTTTCTATTGCTTGTTTTAAAAATAGCGATATTCTGGAGATTATTTCATTTTCAAGTGAGAGGTTGTAATCTGAATGAAGGGGAAAAGGCCATTCTTGAACACAGGATGAGCCATTTTTACTAATCTACTAGAGAACCAGTTCAGATTTAAGTATATTTTTTGTGTGATTTTTTTTTGTGTGATTTTAGTGAGAGGTCCAATGCTTTAATATCTAATAATTTCTGCCCCCCGAATTCATATTAATTATAGAAATAGGCCCATTTAATTTGTCTCGCTTGCCGTTCCAAATACAGTGGGGAGAAAAAATTATTTAGTTAGCCACCAATTGTGCAAGTTCTCCCACTTAAAAAGATGAGAGAGGCCTGTAATTTTCATCATAGGTACACATCAACTATGACAGCCAAAATGAGGAAAAAAATCCAGAAAATCACATTGTAGGTTTTTAATGAATTTATTTGCAAATTATGGTGGAAAATAAGTATTTGGTCAATAACAAAAGTTTCTCAATAATTTGTTATATACTCTTTGTTGGCAATGACACAGGTCAAACGTTTCCTGTAAGTCTTCACAAGGTTTTCACACACTGTTGCTGGTATTTTGGCCCATTCCTCCATGCAGATCTCCTCTAGAGCAGTGATGTTTTGGAGCTGTCGCTGGGCAACACGGACTTTCAACACCCTCCAAAGATTTTCTATGGGGTTGAGATCTGGAGACTGGCTAGGCCACTCCAGGACCTTGAAATGCTTCTTACGAAGCCACTCCTTCATTGCCCGGGCGGTGTGTTTGGGATCATTGTCATGCTGAAAGACCCAGCCACGTTTCATCTTCAATGCCCTTGCTGATGGAAGGAGGTTTTCACTCAAAATCTCACGATACATGGCCCCATTCATTCTTTCCTTTACACGGATCAGTCGTCCTGGTCCCTTTGCAGAAAAACAGCCCCAAAGCATGATGTTTCCACCCCCATGCTTCACAGTAGGTATGGTGTTCTTTGGATGCAACTCAGCATTCTTTGTCCTCCAAAAACGACGAATTGAGTTTTTACCAAAAAGTTCTATTTTGGTTTCATCTGACCATATGACATTCTCCCAATCCTCTTCTGGATCATCCAAATGCACTCTAGCAAACTTCAGACGGGCCTGGACATGTACTGGCTTAAGCAGGGGGACACGTCTGGCACTGCAGGATTTGAGTCCCTGGTGGCGTAGTGTGTTACTGATGGTAGGCTTTGTTACTTTGGTCCCAGCTCTCTGCAGGTCATTCACTAGGTCCCCCCGTGTGGTTCTGGGATTTTTGCTCACCGTTCTTGTGATCATTTTGACCCCACGGGGTGAGATCTTGCGTGGAGCCCCAGATCGAGGGAGATTATCAGTGGTCTTGTATGTCTTCCATTTCCTAATAATTGCTCCCACAGTTGATTTCTTCAAACCAAGCTGCTTACCTATTGCAGATTCAGTCTTCCCAGCCTGGTGCAGGTCTACAATTTTGTTTCTGGTGTCCTTTGACAGCTCTTTGGTCTTGGCCATAGTGGAGTTTGGAGTGTGACTGTTTGAGGTTGTGGACAGGTGTCTTTTATACTGATAACAAGTTCAAACAGGTGCCATTAATACAGGTAACGAGTGGAGGACAGAGGAGCCTCTTAAAGAAGAAGTTACAGGTCTGTGAGAGCCAGAAATCTTGCTTGTTTGTAGGTGACCAAATGCTTATTTTCCACCATAATTTGCAAATAAATTCATGAAAAATCATACAATGTGATTTTCTGGAGAAAAAAATTCTCAATTTGTTTGTCATAGTTGACGTGTACGTATGATGAAAATTACAGGCCTCTCTCATCTTTTTAAGTGGGAGAACTTGCACAATTGGTGGCTGACTAAATACTTTTTTTCCCCACTGTAAAGTAAAATATTTTTTGCTCATATATTTTTAAATGCAATTCGTTAGGTGTAGGCATGGCCATAAGTATATAGGCAAACTGAGATATGACTAATTAATTAATCAGGGTGATTTTTCAGAAATAGACAGGTGTTGTCCTTTCCATGGTAGCAAAATCTAATCTAAATTGGCTAACTTTCTATTAAAATGTATTGTAGTGAGATCATTTATTTATTTCAGGATATGAATACCGAGTATGTCCACTTCACCGTCGGACCATTTTATTGGTAAACTACACGGTAATGTAAAAGTAGTATTTGTTAGAGATCCAATACGTAATATGGTGCATTTATCATCATTTGGTTTTAATCCAGAGAGGTTAGAAAAATTATCCACAGTGCCTTGCAAAAGTATTCATCCCCCTTGGCGTTTTTCCTATTTTGTTGCATTACAACCTGTAATTTAAATTGATTTTTATTTGGATTTCATGTAATGGACATACACAAAATAGTCCAAATTGGTGAAGTGAAATTAAAAAAATTAACTTGTTTAAAAAAATTCAAAAAAATAAATAACGGTAAATTGGTGTGTACATATGTATTCACCCCCTTTGCTATGAAACCCCTAAATAAGATCTGGTGCAACCAATTACCTTCAGAATTCCCATAATTAGTTAAATAAAGTCCACCTGTGTCACATGATCTGTCACATGATCTCAGTATATATACACCTGTTCTGAAAGGCCCCAGAGTCTGCAACACCACTAAACAAGGGGCACCACCAAGCAAGCGGCACCATGAAGACCAAGGAGCTCTCCAAACAGGTCAGGGACAAAGTTGTGGAGAAGTACAGATCAGGGTTGGGTTATAAAAAAATATCAGAAATTTTGAACATCCCACGGAGCACCATTAAATCCATTATTAAAAAATGGAAAGAATATGGCACCACAACAAACCTGCCAAGAGAGGGCCGCCCACCAGAACACACGGACCAGGCAAGGAGGGCATTAATCAGAGGCAACAAAGAGACCAAAGATAACCCTGAAGGAGCTGCAAAGCTCCACAGCGGAGATTGGCGTATCTGTCCATAGGACCACTTTAAGCCGTACACTCCACAGAGCTGGGCTTTACTGAAGAGTGGCCAGAAAAAAGCCATTGCTTAAAGAAAGAAATAAGCAAACACGTTTGGTGTTCGCCAAAAGGCATGTGGGAGACTCTCCAAACATATGGAAGGTACTCTGGTCAGATTAGACTAAAATTGAGCTTTTTGGTCATCAAGGAAAACACTATGTCTGGCGTAAACCCAACACCTCTCGTCACCCCGAGAACACCATCCCCACAGTGAAGCATGGTGGTGGCAGCATCATACTGCTAAAGCAACACTTGAGTGGTTTAAGGGGAAACATTTAAATGTCTTGGAATGGCCTAGTCAAAGCCCAGACCTCAATCCAATTGAGAATCTGTGGTATGACTTAAAGATTGCTGTACACCAGCGGAACCCATCCAACTTGAAGGAGCTGGAGCAGTTTTGCCTTGAAGAATGGGCAAAAATCCCAGTGGCTAGATGTGCCAAGCTTATAGAGACATTCCCCAAGAGACTTGCAGCTGTAAAATAGTTATGCACACTCAAGTTTTCTGTTTTTCTGTCTTATTTCTTGTTTGTTTCACAATAAATAATATTTTACATCTTCAAAGTGGTAGGCATGTTGTGTAAATCAAATGATACAAACCCCCCCAAAATCAATTTGAATTCCATGTTGTAAGGCAACAAGATAGGAAAAATGCCAAGGGGGGGTGAATACTTTCGCAAGCCACTGTAGATCTTCTATGAGGCTGTGCAGGGATCACATTGCGGATTTAAAAGAAAACATGAATCATCAGCATACAATGACACCTTTTTTTTTAAAGCTGTGGATTTCTAGCCTTTTGATATTATTGTTGGATCTGATTTTAATAGCTAACATTTCGATGGCCATAATAAATAGATATGCCGATAGTGGACAACCTTGTTTTACTCCTTTTGACAATGTAATACTTTCTGAGAAGTAGCCATTATTTACAATTTTACACCTGGGGTTACTATACATAACTTTACCCCTTTGTATAAGATATTCTCCAAAATTAAAATAGTCCAGGCATTTATATATAAATTCCAGTCGTACTTTATCAAAAGCCTTTTTAAAGTCAGCTATGAATACCAGGCCTGGTTTCCCAGATGTTTCATAGTGTTCTATTGTTTCCAGTACTTGTCTTATTATAATCTCCAATGTATTATCCATGTAAAAAAACCTGTCTGATTAGGATGAATAATATCCGACAATACCGTTTTAATTCTATGCACTATGCATTTTGCTATGATTTTGGCATCACAACACTGAATCCAGTATTTTAGGTGGACTGGATCTTTATATTTACCACCTGGGTCCTGTTTCAGTAATAGTGAAATCAGATCATCTTGCTGAGTATCTGATAGTCTACCGTTTTTATAGGATTGGTTAAAACATGTTAATAACGGACCTTTGAGTACATCAAAAACTATTTTATATACCTCAACTGGTATGCCATCCAGCCCTGGAGTTTTCCTGGACTTGAAGGCTTTAATTGCATCTAGAAGTTCCTCCTCTGTAACTAGGCCTTCACATGAGTCTTTCTGTATAGCTGTTAATTTTACACTATTAATAGAACAAAAATCCTTACAATTAACTTCTGTTAGTGGAAGTGGAGGAGACTGAAATGAAAACATATGGTTAAAGTACTTTGCTTCTTCTTTACAAATATCGTTTGGTGAGTCATGGATGACTCCATCATTTGTAGCAAGTTTCTGTAAATTCTTTTTGGTAGCATTTCTAATATGTTGACAATGTTTTCATGTTGCACACCTTTTAGTTTTTTCATTAAATGCTTTTCATATCTATATACGAATTTCTAAAATTTCATAGTTGGTTTGAGGTTTTTAAGTCATTTGAATTTGGAGCTACTGGAATTTTAACATATTGTCCCATGTACATTGTGTAATATACCGATGGTTCCTAACTAGCCCCAGGGGCAGGGATGGGCAAAAATTACAAAATACAATTACAAAATACAGATACAAAATACCATAAAGATCAATGTAGCAAAATAAACTACAAAATACTTGTATTTTGAAATGTATTTAATTAAAATTAAAATAAACATCGTTTTTATTTTAAAATACAAAAACACATTTGCAAGTAGCCGGCCCGAACGTCAACAACATTCTCAGTAATGGTTACAAAAACGTTTTTCTTGCTATGACTGTGATATGTTGTTGTTTATCTACCTTAGTTGAGCACGTCACTCTGGATAAGAGTGTCTGCTAAATTACCAAAATGTTAATGTATATGTGAAAATGAACATTATTATTATTGGCCCTGTTTCAGTGCATAGATCATTAGAATAATACTCAGCATGCTTTGCAATTGTTCATTTTTACATTTACATTTTAGTCATTTAGCAGACGCTCTTATCCAGAGCGACTTACAATTAGTGCATTCATCTTAAGATAGCTAGGTGAGACAACATATCACAATTGTATCAAGTACATTTTCCCTCAACAAAGTATTTATCAACATTTTTACATTTTAGTCATTTAGCAGACGCTCTTATCCAGAGCAATTTACAGTTAGTGAGTGCATACATTTTTCATACTGGCCCCCCGTGGGAATCAAACCCACAACCCTGGCGTTGCAAGCGCCATACTCTACCAACTGAGCTACAGGAGTATTTTTACATATACATTTATATTTAGTTCATTTAGCAGACGCTCTTATCACACCATAGTGCTATCAGACTTCTGATACCAATGTAGGGTGAAAGCGGAGCCACAAAATGTGAACCCCTATAAACAATGGAATACGTATTTTAAATACATGTAACAGAAATACTGCCCATCTCTGCCCATAGGGATATCCAAAGTCTACCCAAATTTACCAGAGGCATTACGATCAGGTCACATACAGCTGCACTCCGACTTGATGATTACTTGTGTGCTGCCAGTTTTGAGCATGTGGGCAGGATTGAAACAAACTCAGTTTTGGACGAGACTGACTTTATAACCATAATTATAATTATCCTATTTACACTTTGTAATCAATTTTGACAGTAGAATAAATGTTTCGTAGTTATATCGATGCCACATTTCTAAATGAGAAGTTGGTTTTGAGGGGCAGTTGCTTTGTAGCCCTTTCCTGCAGTCAATGACCAAAAGCGTCTTCTTTTGCCTCATGGGTGGAATGTTATTAATACTTTTCATAATTTCATCATTAATAACGTTTTATATATTTATTTTTACAAAAAAACCTACTTTTTTTACGACTGTCAAACAGTTTTGTTATATTTTAGTCTTCTGTGATGTATATAAAGTGTAATATTAGGATGCAATCTCAAAATTGAATACATTTCAACTCTATATCTGACATGGTACAGGTGTCCTCTTTTTCTTAAGCCCATAACCATGTGTGAGGTGTATACTTTTGTTTCAAAGTAGATTTGTTTAAGACTACCAAGAATCACTCTGTGTGACCCTGATTTAGCCCACTGCAGTAAAAGGTGGTTAAGGATAGAGTGTCACTAGCTAGGTTTCCATCCAATTGGCAACAGATTTTCATGCAAATATTCAAAATACTGCATATAGAAAACATCCGCATTTTCCCACCAGTGGATAGTGCACACAAAATCTACTTTTTTGCTTACATTTTCATATACTGAATACAAATCTAATGTTCAATGTATTGCCATCTAATGTTCAACTCTACTGATAGTTTTGTCACAAAAACTGTTGCGTTAAATAGTAAATGTGCCTACTCTGGTTTTGGCTCCTGTGCTCTAGCCAACAGTGTGGGTAGGCTCTGTGGGTAGGCTATTCTACATGATGAGATTATGGATAAGAGTGAAAATGTTTTTATTTGTCAAAACCGCAGTCAAGCATCGGTCATCATGTCACCAGAATAAGACCCTCGACATTTATTGGAAAGGAGCATCAAGATCATCACCTTGCACTTTCACCACCGTGTGAAGTTCATCATAACTTATTTCATTTGTAGCCTAATTTAAACTGCATTGTTTCCCGAGTCGTAGTGGGAGGACCACACGTGTCATCGCGTGACTCCAATTTTACTTCGATATAATGGTTATTTTATCAATATTTACACATAAAGGTGTTTCCATTGCCATTTCTCGCATAATACATTTTACAGACACAAAAAGATCCCACCATGTCGAACAATCAAATTATCTGTCTGCATTGATAAAATTGTACCTTAACTTCCTGTTTCCATCACAGCTGTCATGATTTTTTTTTATATGGTACGACTTTACTCGCTTAAAAACTGGATGGAAACAATGTTAGTGTGACCTTTAAAGGGGCAATCAGCAGTTGCTTCATCAATTTTTTGACTTATAAAGGAATGATATGTACCCATTGATTCTTGAAGAATACAACTTATAAATGCCTCATGAGCTTATTTCAACTGTCATACATCATCAGAACCCAAAATATACATTTTACTCCAATGTTTGTAAACAAAGTAAATGTAAACAAACACTATATAGCCCCAAACATGGTTAAAACTATAATTTTTATATCATGGATGCTCAGTCCTTGCATCCGTAGCGCTGTCTATGAATTTCAGAGTGGTACTTTTCTCCAGCCCCATCACTCAGCTTTTAACGGAAACAAACAGAGGGTACTTTGTTATTGTTTCTACTGCTGATTTCTGCTTTTAGAGAGTCAAGGTCAAGTGTATATTTACATGGCTAAAATGTCTCTCCCTCTCCCTCTCCCTCTCCCTCTCCCTCTCCCTCTCCCTCTCCCTCTCCCTCTCCCTCTCCCTCTCCCTCTCCCTCTCCAGAGCTGTAAGCCCCACAAGCGTTCAGTGTGTGGCAGTAACAGTAAGACGTACCGCAACCACTGTGAGCTCCACCGAGATGCCTGTCTCACCGGCCTCAAGATCCAGGTGGCCCACGACGGACACTGCCAGGGTGGGGAGAACACACACACACACACACTTTCTTGTTTACTTTGTGTGTGTATAGCAGACCTGGGCAGAAAATAGTTGTATTTTGTAGTTTATTTGAAAATACCAACTTTTCAAATACTCGAGGTAGTCCAATATAGAGAATCCACTAAAGGCAACTATTGGCAACTACACAGAACAAAAGTATAAATGCAACACAATGCCACAGATGTCTCAGGTTTTGAGGGAGTGTGCAATTGGCATGCTGACTGCAGCAATGTCCACCAGAGCTGTTACCAGAGAATTTAATGTTAATTACTCTACCATAAGCCACATCCAACGTCGTTTTAGAGAATTTGGCAGTACGTCCAACCAGCCTCACAACCGCAGACAACGTGTCACAACCGAAGGATTTCTGCACAAACTGTCAGAAACTGTCTCAGGGAATCTCATCTGCGTGCTCGTCGTCCTCACCAGGGTCTAGACCTGACTGCAGTTCGGCGTCGTAACCCACTTCAGTGGGCAAATGCTCACCTTTGATGGCCACTGGCACGCTGGAGAAGTCTGCTCTTCACGGATGAAATTCAACTGTACCGGGCAGATGGCGTCGTGGGCGATCGGTTTGCTTATGTTAACGTTGTGAACAGAGTGGTATGGGCAGGCATAAGCTACAGACAACGAACACAATTGCATTTTATCGATTGCAATTTGAATGCACAGAGATACTGTGACGAGATCCTGAGGCCCATTGTCATGCCATTCATCCGCCGCCATCACCTCATGTTTCAGCATGATAATGCACGGCTCCATGTCGCAAGGATCTGTACACAATTCCTGGAAGCTGAAAATGTCCCAGTTCTTCCATGGCCTGCATACTCACCAGACATGTCACCCATTGCGCATGTTTGGGATGCTAGATAGACGTGTGTGACGGCATGTTCCAGTTCCCGCCAATATCCAGCAACTTCGCACAGCCATTGAAGAGGAGTGGGACAACATTCCACAAGCCACAATCAACAGCCTGATCAACTCAATGCGAAGGAGATGTGTCGCGCTGCATGAGGCAAATGGTGGTCACACCAGATACTGACTGTTTTTCTGATCCACTCCCCTAACTTTTTTTTAAGGTGTCTGCGACCAACATATTCATATCTGTATTCTCAATCATGTGAAATCCATAGATTAGGGCCTAATTAATTTATTTTAATTGACTGATTGCCTTATATGAACAGTAACTCAATAAAAACGTTGAAATTGTTGCATGTTGCATTTATATTTTTGTTCAGTGTATTTCCTTTAATATTCAAATACAGGTCTCAGAGAAACTAATAATATTTGAAAATATTTTGAATACCTCTCAGAAAAACAAATAATATTTGGAGGTACTTGAATATATGCAAGTTATTTGAAAACAAAAATATATATTTATTTGATGGCTGCCAAATATTTCATTGGCCTAATGAAATACTGTATGTATGGTATTTTGTTAATAATTTAAAAATATAATGATAACATATTTACAGTGAGGGAAAAAAGTATTTGATCCCCTGCTGATTTTGTATGTTTGCCCACTGACAAAGAAATGATCAGTCTATAATTTTAATGGTAGGTGTATTTGAACAGTGAGAGACAGAATAACAACAACAAAATCCAGAAAAATGCATGTAAAAAATGTTATAAATTGATTTGCATTTTAATGAGGGAAATAAGTATTTGACCCCCTCTCAATCAGAAAGATTTCTGGCTCCCAGGTGTCTTTTATACAGGTAACGAGCTGAGATTAGGAGCACACTCTTAATCTTAGCTTGTTACCTGTATAAAAGACACCTGTCCACAGAAGCAATCAATCAATCAGATTCCAAACTCTCCACCATGGCCAAGACCAAAGATCTCTCCAAGGATGTCAGGGACAAGATTGTAGACCTACACAAGGCTGAAATGGGCTACAACACCATCGCCAAGCAGCTTGGTGAGAAGGTGACAACAGTTGGTGCGATTATTCGCAAATGGACGAAACACAAAATAATCTCCCTCGGCCTGGGGCTCCATGCAAGATCTCACCTCGTGGAGTTGAAATGATCATGAAAAACGGTGAGGAATCAGCCCAGAACTACACAGGAGGATCTTGTCAATGATCTCAAGGCAGCTGGGACCATAGTCACCAAGAAAACAATTGGTAACACTCTACGCCGTGAAGGACTGAAATCCTGCAGCGCCCGCAAGGTCCCCCTGCTCAAGAAAGCACATATAAAGGCCCGTTTGAAGATTGCCAATGAACATCTGAATGATTCAGAGGAGAACTGGGTGAAAGTGTTGTGGTCAGATGAGACCAAAATCGAGATCTTTGGCAACAACTCAACTCGCCGTGTTTGGAGGAGGAGGAGGAGTGCTGCCTATGACCCCAAGAACACCATCCCCACCGTCAAACATGGAGGTGGAAACATTATGCTTTGGGGGTGATTTTCTGCTAAGGGGACAGGACAACTTCACCGCATCAAAGGGACGATGGATGGGGCCATGTACCGTCAAATCTTGGGTGAGAACCTCCTGGATGGGTATTCCAGCATGACAATGACCCAAAACACACAGCCAAGGCAACAAAGGAGTGGCTCAAGAAGAAGGACATTAAGGTCCTGGAGTGGCCTAGCCAGTCTCCAGACCTTAATCCCATAGAAAATCTGTGGCGGGAGCTGAAGGTTCGAGTTGCCAAATGTCAGCCTCAAACCCTTAATGACTTGGAGAAGATCTGCAAAGAGGAGTGGGACAAAATCCCTCCTGAGATGTGTGCAAACCTGGTGGCCAACTACAAGAAACGTCTGACCTCTGTGATTGCCAACAAGGGTTTTGCCACCAAGTACTAAGTCATGTTTTGCAGAGGGGTCAAATACTTATTTCCCTCATTAAAATGGAAATAAATTTATAAGATTTTTGACATGCATTTTTCTGGATCTTTTTGTTGTTATTCTGTCCTCACTGTTCAAATAAACCTACCATTAAAATTATAGACTGATCATGTCTTTGTCAGTGGGCAAACGTACAAAATCAGCAGGGGATCAAATACTTTTTTCCCTCACTGTACTTAGGATCTCACTTGGTGGAGTCCATAGGACCAAAAATGGATGAATGCAACAGCCTCTGTCCTTAACAAATACAGTAATGGGTGGTAACTCAATTTACTCGAAAGGCACTCTGGGAAATATTGGAATAAGGCTTTACACTAACCAGTTTGTTAATTTAACACTGTTCCAGTGTCTATATGGGTCCAAAGACTCAACGCTGTCAGTGTATTTTCTTTTTATTTATTTTTTTAACAATTACACTGTTGAATTTGCTGTGCAGTATATTGTCACAATGTATTTATACTTATCTGTACACAATATCATTGGTTGATTGGTTTTACTTGATTATCTACACCTGGGGCCTGTTCAGGAGAATGGAAATGTACAGATTGTTCAGATATAAATGTATTTTGTAGAACAAATATGTTCTACTGTCAAATTGGAATAGTATAGGACATTGTGTGTGCTCTTTTTCATTATATTTCTATCTGCAACATGCAGTTCCAGATACAGCCCTGTCATTAGTTGAAGGCAGCAAATCCAATAGTTTCTGAAAAGTATTCACTTCCTGAGATCTGTATTCAAATATGTTGTTAATGTAGTTGCTTTCTGAGATCTGTATTCAAATATATATATATATATATATTAAAAGTAGATGCTTTTCAGAATTGTATTCACATAGTTGTAGTCACCTCCAACGTAACTATTTGTTACTTTCCACAAAGCATATTTAAAACAATAGTTATCCCAGGTCTGGTGTATAGCACATGACTGACCTTTATATCTGATGCCTATATACTCAGGGGTACAATCTCTGGTTGTCATGACACAGTCAGTCTATATGCGAACCGACAGGTGACACATATGGTCCCATACTCATCTTTGATTTACCTGACAGATTATCTCCTAGTGTTGAACTTTGAACCTGTACACCCAATGACCTCTTCTTATCTGTCTGTTGGCCTGGACATTGATCAAATTGATGATAAATCAGTTACTCCTGTGTTGTTGTAGGAGTGTCACAAAGAGGCTATCATGTCACGGTGTCCTTGGGCATTAACGGTTATTGTGGCAATGTGACATTGACATGGTGAAAAACACTAGATAGCAAGAAACGCTAGATACTGTAAAGCACAATGAATTAAAGTGTTTTTTTTCTCTCTCTCTCTCTCTCTCTCTCTCTCTCTCTCTCTCTCTCTCTCTGTCGTCTGCAGAGAAGAAAGCAGAGCAAGCAGCTGCCAGCCCAGGTGAGTGATTGTGACACGGTGACTCTGTGGGCTTTGGGCCAATCAGAGGTCTGTATCTCTTTGCTCTTATCTCCTCTAGTCCTAATGGGGCTTTATCAGACAGAGTACACCTCTCTCAGAGCCCTATCAGTGCTCTTCTGATCTCTCAGTGCTCTAGTGACAAGCACACTTCTTTAATGGTGCTCTAACCTTATGCACTCCCTGTCACTAGACTTAACTGATAGGGAGTGCCAAGTGTTAGGGGTTAGGACTGTACATTTGGGCTCATACTGAGCTGGGAGGTACTGGTGTTCTCTGGACAGAACAGGGATTGTGTGGATTGTATCTTTATCATCCTAGAGAGTGTCAGAAAGGCTAGAGTACCTGCTAGATTGTGTTTTTTGACAGTCACATTCTCTATCTCGCACTCCCTCTCTGTCTCTCTCACTCACACTCCCCCCTGTCTCTCTCTCTCATCCCTCTCTCTAGTGGTGTGTTACGTAGCAGACCGTAATGAGTTGAGGCATCGTGTGATCCAGTGGCTGCAGACTGAGGTGGTCCCAGACGGCTGGTTTGTCAAGGGCTCCAACTTTACCGACATCCTGCTCAAATACTTCAAGGTGTGTGTGTGTGTATGTGTGTGTGTGTGTGTCTGTTCCAGTTGTGATATTGGTTCTATGAAGTCCAAAACTATGGACTAAATGGAAAATTAATTGTGCACAAAAATGTAAGCTGTTTTTACCCCTCACATAGCGCATACCTTTTGCCATAAGCTGTCACAAATAGAAGAGGTGGCTGGAAACTATTGGGTCTTTACAGGAGGGACACCCCCCAACCTTCAGCCCCTCTCTCACACTGGCCAACTTATGGTGTCTTGTACCATACACCCCCCCATCCCTAATCACATACCTCCATCTCCGTTCCCTTACCCTTTCAGACTGGCACTGTGCTAATCTAAACACTCAGATGGTAACCTCTATCCCTCCATCCCTCCCTCCCTCCCTCCCTCCCTCCCTCCCTCCCTCCCTCCCTCTCTTCCTTTCCACCATAAATCATCAACTCTAGCCTGATCATTTATGTGAAAGCCATCTCAGGCATGACAGTGGACGGCCTTAACTCCTCTTAATGACCATCCGCCTCCTGTGGTGAAGGACCCCTGGCCCTGCCACGCTCCCATTTGCTCAGATGGCCATAAAGGGGAAGTGCAGTCAATGTTCAGAAAAGTCTCTATTTTATCCCATATACAGTTGAAGTCGGAAGTTTACATACACCTTAGCCAAATACATTTAAACTCAGTTTTTCACAATTCCTGACATTTAATCCTAGTAGAAATTCCCTGTCTTAGGTCAGTTAGGATCACCACTTTATGTTAAGAATGTGAAATGTCAGAATAATAGTAGAGAGAATGATTTATTTCAGCTTTTATTTATTTCATCACATTTCCAGTGGGTCCAGAAGTTTACATACACTCAATTAGTATTTGGTAGCATTGCGTTTAAATTGTTTAACTTGGGTCAAACGTTTCCAGTAGCCTTCCACAAGCTTCCCACAATAAGTTGGGTGAATTCTGGCCCATTCCTCCTGACAGAACTGGTGTAACTGAGTCAGGTTTGTAAGCCTCCTTGCTCGCACATGCTTTTTCAGTTCTGCCCACAAATGTTCTATAGGATTGAGGTCAGGGCTTTCTGATGGCCACTCCAATACCTTGACTTTGTTGTCCTTAAGCCACTTTGCCACAACTTTGGAAGTATGCTTGGGGTCATTGTCCATTTGTTGATCCTCAACACGGGGGCCCCTCAGGGGTGCGTGCTCAGTCCCCTCCTGTACTCTCTGTTCACCCATGACTGCATGGCCAGGCACGACTCCAACACCATCATTAAGTTTGCCGACGACACAACAGTGGTAGGCCTGATCACCGACAACGATGAGACAGCCTATAGGGAGGAGGTCAGAGATCTGGCCGTGTGGTGCCAGGACAACAACCTCTCCCTCAACGTGACCAAGACAAAGGAGATGATTGTGGACTACAGGAACAAAAATAGGACTGAGCACGCCCCCATTCTCATCGACGGGGCTGTAGTGGAACAGGTTGAGAGCTTCAAGTTCCTTGGTGTCCACATCACCAACGAACTATCATGGTCCAAACACACCAAGACAGTCGTGAAGAGGGCACGACAAAGCCTATTCCCCCTCAGGAGACTAAAAAGATTTGGCATGGGTCCTCAGATCCTCAAAAAATTCTACAGCTGCACCATCGAGAGCATCCTGACTGGTTGCATCACCGCCTGGTATGGCAACTGCTTGGCCTCTGACCGCAAGGCACTACAGAGGGTAGTGCGTACGGCCCAGTACATCACTGGGGCAAAGCTTCCTGCCATCCAGGACCTCTATAGCAGGCGGTGTCAGAGGAAGGCCCTCAAAATTGTCAAAGACTCCAGCCACCCTAGTCATAGACTGTTCTCTCTGCTACCGCACGGCAAGCGGTACCGGAGTGCCAAGTCTAGGTCCAAAAGACTTCTCAACAGCTTCTACCCCCAAGCCATAAGACTCCTGAACAGCTAATCATGGCTACCCGGACTATTTGCACTGCCCCCCCACCCCATCCTTTTTACGCTGCTGCTACTCTGTTAAGTATTTATGCATAGTCACTTTAACTCTACCCACATGTACATATTACCTCAACTACCTCAACTAGCCGGTGCCCCCGCACATTGACTCTGCAACGGTACCCCCCTGTATATATAGCCTCCCTACTGTCACTTTATTTTACTTCTGCTCTTTTTTTCTCAACACTTTTTGTTGTTGTTGTTTTATTCTTACTTTTTTGTTTAAAATAAATGCACTGTTGGTTAAGGGCTGTAAGTAAGCATTTCACTGTAATGTCTGCACCTGTTGTATTCGGCGCATGTGACCAATAAAATTTGATTTGATTTGATTTGCGACCAAGCTTTAACTTCCTGACAGATGTCTTGAGATGTTGCTTCAATATATCCACATGATTTTCCTGCCTCATGATGCCATATATGTTGTGAAGTGCACCAGTCCCTCCTGCAGCAAAGCACCCCCACAGCATGATGCTGCCATCCCTGTGCTTCACGTTTGGGATGGTGTTCTTTGTCTTGCAAGCTACCCCCCTTTTCGTCCAAACATAATGATGGTCATTATGGCCAAACAGTTCTATTTTTGTTTCTTCAGACCAGAGGACATTTCTCAAAAAAATCTGATCTTTGTCCCCTTGTGTAGTTGCAAACCGAAGTCTGGCTTTTTTATGGCGGTTTTGGAGCAGTGGCTTCTTCCTTGCTGAGCGGCCTTTCAGGTTATGTCGATATAGGACTCGTTTTACTGTGGATATAGATACTTTTGTACCTGTTTCCTCCAGCATCTTCACAAGGTCCTTTGCTGTTGTTCTGGGATTGATTTGCACTTTTCGCACCAAAGTACGTTCATCTCTGGGAGAAAGATCGCGTCTCCTTCCTGAGCGGTATGACGGCTGCGTGGTCCCATGGTGTTTATACTTGCATACTATTGTTTGTACAAATCAGGCGTTTGGAAATTGCTCCCAAGGATGAACCAGACTTGTGGAGGTCTACAATTTTGTTTCTGAGGTCTTGGCTTATTTCTTTTGATTTTCCCATGATGTCAAGCAAAGAGGCACTGAGTTTGAAGGTAGGCCTTGAAATACATCCACAGGTACAGCTCAATTAGCCTATCAGAAGCTTCTAAAGCCATGACATCATTTTCTGGAATTTTCCAAGCTGTTTAAAGGCACAGTCAACTTAGTGTATGTAAACTTCTGACCCACTGGAATTGTAATACTGTGAATTATAAGTGAAATAATATGTCTGTAAATAATTGTTGGAAAAATTACTTGTGTCATGCACAACATAGATGTCCTAACCGACTTGCCAAAACTATAGTTTGTTAACAAGAAATTTCAAGAAAACTACTTCAAAATGGAGATGGCCTCAATGGCGCTGCCCATGCACTCACAGACGCCATAATGGGACAGATGTAACGTTGCGATCTCTATATAACTCTGTGACATTATCCCCACTGGTTACAGTTTCTATCACACACATGAAAACATGAGAGAGATTCATTTGAAATCAAAAGACCATTGTTCTCCTGTCTCTTCCAGTCTCCTCTATGTGCCTCGTTTCTGAGAGTTCCATTAACTCTCCACAGAGACAGAGCACAGTGAAATAATGGAGCCAAAAGTATAGTCCCACACACCACCACATCTACGCACTAAAGATAAACTCAGCAAAAAAATAAACGTCCCTTTTTCAGGACCCTGTCTTTCAAAGATAATTCGTAAAAATCCAAATAACTTCACAGAGCTTCATTGTAAAGGGTTTAAACACTGTTTCCCATGCTTGTTCAATGAACCATAAACAATTAATGAACATGCAACTGTGGAATGGTCATTAAGACACTAACAGCTTACACACGGTAGGCAATTAAGGTCACAGTTATGAAAACTTAGGACATTAAAGAGGCCTTTCTACTGACTCTGAAAAACACTAAAAGAAAGATGCCCAGGGTCCCTGCTCATCTGCGTGAACATGCCTTAGGCATGCTGCAAGGAGGCATGAGGACTGCAGGTTTGGCCAGGGCAATAAATTGCAATGTCCGTACTGTGAGACGCCTAAGACAGCGCTACAGGGAGACAGGACGGACAGCTGATCGTCCTCGCAGTGGCAGACCACGTGTAACAACACTTGCACAGGATCGGTACATCCGAACATCACACCTGCGGGACAGGTACAGGATGGCAACAACAACTACCCGAGTTACACCAGGAACGCACAATCCCTCCATCAGTGCTCAGACTGTCCGCAATAGGCTGAGAGAGGCTGGACTGAGGGCTTGTAGGCCTGTTGTAAGGCAGGTCCTCACCAGACATCACCGGCAACAAAGTCGCCTATGGGCACAAACCCACCGTCGCTGGACCAGACAGGACTGGCAAAAAGTGCTCTTCACTGACGAGTCGCGGTTTTGTCTCACTAGGGGTGATGGTCGGATTCGCATTTATCGTCGAAGGAATGAGCGTTACACCGAGGCCTGTACTCTGGAGCGGGATCGATTTGGAGGTGGAGGGTCCGTCATGGTCTGGGGCGGTGTGTCACAGCATCATCGGACTGAGCTTGTTGTCATTGCAGGAGATCTCAACGCTGTGCGTTACAGGGAAGATATCCTCCTCCCTCATGTGGTACCCTTCCTGCAGGCTCATCCTGACATGACCCTCCAGCATGACAATGCCACCAGCCATACTGCTCATTCTGTGCATGATTTCCTGCAAGACAGGAATGTCAGTGTTCTGCCATGGCCAGCAAAGCGCCCGGATCTCAATCCCATTGAGCACGTCTGGGACCTGTTGGATCGGAGGGTGAGTGCTAGGGCCATTCCCCCCAGAAATGCAGGTGCCTTGGTGGAAGAGTGGGGTAACATCTCACAGCAAGAACTGGCAAATCTGGTGCATGAGGAGGAGATGCACTGCAGTACTTAATGCAGCTGGTGGCCACACCAGATACTGACTGTTACTTTTGATTTTGACCCCCCCTTTGTTCAGGGACACATTATTCAATTTCTGTTAGTTACATGTCTGTGGAACTTGTTCAGTTTATGTCTCAGTTTTTGAATCTTGCTATGTTCATACAAATATTTACACATGTTAAGTTTGCTGAAGATAAACGCAGTTGACAGAGAGAGGACGTTTCTTTTTTTGCTGAGTTTACAATGGAGCCTTTAAGTATCCCTCCACCCCAATGTAGAGGTTCACACTGGGGGACCCCCGGGGGGGAGGAGATTAAATACCATATCTATCTCCAAGGCAACAGGTCCCTGCATTCAAACCCCTCAATCCCCTTATCTGGCAGGGCCAGATAAGACTGTCTCACTTTCTCTCCCTATACACTATGTCTGTCTGTCAATCTCTCTCTTTATAGAATAGAACTCCATGGCTCTTCCATTTCCATGTGTCCCCCCTCACTCTGGATTAGCAGGCTAGAAGCAGGTGTTTTATCAGTTAAAGGGACATATGATTGGAAAGTGATTGATAGAGAAACTCTTCTCTACTCCTACTAACTCTGTTTGTGTGTGTGTGCGTGCGTGCATGCGTGCGTGTACACAGAACTACGACAATGGTGACTCCACGCTGGACTCCTCAGAGCTTCTCAAATTCATCCAACATAATGACTCCAACGTGGACATGCAGTCATACGCAGACCAGGAGAGCAACAAGCTGCTCAGGTCAGTGTGTGTGCGTGTGTGCGTGCTTGTGTGCTATTTCATCTTTAAAAAGCGTATCTACTTCTAGTGTAGTGTAAATCCGAGCCATATACATAGTGTACCGTAAATGTATATGAATACCTCTACAGTATCTATATCTTATCCTCAGCTGTACAGTATAGGGTTTCTGAGGAGTTGGTGCTATATAAAGCCCTACTTTCCCTCTCTCTGAGCCTTAAACCCTGTGTGACCCAGTCTAAACTGCACCGGGGGCCTCCTGTGGGTGATCTAACCCTCACAGACACCTGTTCTGTACATTATCTGAGCCTGGGTTTCCACTGTGCTGCTCACTGGAGCAGTGCTGCAATGCTTCTTCAGGTTTGGAGAAAATAAACTGCCTAAATCAGCCACTTCTATTGCCCATACATGAGAAGGGCCCTGAGTATTTCCTGGCCATGTGACTTGACCAGGGACAACTCTGGGCCCTGCAAATGAAGGATGGATAACCTTTAAAAACAAATCTAGTTGTTTCAACTAACTATTGTTAAGTAACTGGTTCCACAGCCTTTTTTTAATTACTAAACATTTCGGTCCAAATGTTACCTGAACAAAAAAAAGAGTTGGCCCAAACTCCAACGTAGGCAAAATTCTGTCAATTTAAAATGATGTGTTTGCTTACATATTTGACATACATGATTACATTGTGCATTGATACAGTCATTATTATTCAACATGTCTTCACCTGGGATTTGGATTCGCAACCTCTTGGTTCATGGCATTCTGATCTTCCTGCTATGCCACCACGTCTGGGTTATTTATCAGTTAATCTGACTATTCTCTCATCATTGATTTGATTTACTTATTTCAGCAATTTTAGGTTTTTCTGTATAGTTGTCTAATGTTGGTGGTGCATATAACTCTGTTTTAATGTCAGTCCTTAATCATTATGATAAATAAAATAGTTTTATTGAGTGTACTTTTAACAAAGCTGAGATTTACTTTGAAGTGCAAAGTGTAGCAATACAGGTAAAATCAGTCTTCGACACAGATATGGTGGCCTAGCAGAAAGATTGGAATGTCGTAAAACCAAGAGGTTTTCAAATCCCAGGTGAGGACATGTTGAATAGTAATTACTGTATAAGAGAACATGCATGATGTGTGTCAAATATTGTATGTTAAAAGCACTGTTTGTGTAACCAGTTGCACAGCCTTTTTTTAGTTAAAATGCCCAAATAATAATTTCTATTTGAATGAACATATGAGACAATTCTGAGCAAACACTTCATTTTAAGTATACTTTTTTTTTCTTAAGTTGGAGCTAAGTTTGAGGCAACTTTTTTTTTTTGGTTCAGGTAACAGTTGGACCGAAAAGTTGAGTAAACAAACAAAAAATGGCTGTGGAACCAGTTACTTAATAATAATTAGTTGAAACAACAAGATTTGTTTTACAGTGTAGGAAGATTCTGTATGCAAAATAATCCACTAACTTAACTTTTTTATCAGACATCCAACACAGTCAGAAACTATGTCCAATAACCATCTCAACAGCTATGCATAGCTATGAGTACAGGCAGTGAATGTGAACTTGTGTGTGTGTTTCTTTGTCCTGTTCCCAGAAGCCTGTGTGTGGACGCCCTGATCGAGCTGTCCGATGAGAACGCTGACTGGAAGCTTAGCTTCGATGAATTCCTCAGCTGCCTGAAGCCCGGCTTCAACCCACCTGAGAAGAGTGAGCTCACAGACACATGACCCTTGACCCCATGACTCTATGACGACAACACTGCACACCACTGCTGACATCACACGTTTTTTTCTCAGTTCATTACACAAATACCTCTATATCAACCTCTCTGATACATGCAGTAAACTGCAGTATGTGCATGGGATTTACATTATGTTAATCAAAATACCAAATTTATTCACCACAACCACAAGCATATCTACTGTAACTCACCCTAATATACTTGAAATTCATTCAAGCAAAAACAGCTAAATATTATTTATTTACAGACAAGAGTATTTTTCCTCAGTCTGTTGTACTGTACTGAGTTGAGCAGAGGCTGTGCAACCTGTTATAACCCCTTGTCCCGCCTGCGGGACAATCAAATATTATTTTTCATAATTTTCATAATTATTTTAACTAGCTAGCTATAGCTACTAGAAGGGAAGCTAGCAAACAACACCCAAAATTGCGACCAAAGGTAATGTAAATGTTTTTATTATTCATCCAATCATAAACATATTTGGTGGTGTTGGGCCAGCCTTTGTTGATCTATTGGGGAACGAGAAAGAATAGCTCGGTTTGAAATTCATTTGGATGTCTATGAAGGAAACATTAAGTTTGGCTTACAATTTTATATTTCCTTTTTTTTCTAAGTATAAATTGTACATTATTTTGTGTATAGGATGGACCTAAGAAAGTTTGAAAGACTTAAATGTAATCTTACATGTATGCTATTTCAAATGATACACCGGGCCCAGTACAGTGTTTTAACAGAGGGCATCACCCCTTTGTCTACTCACTGGCAGCCATCTTGAGATTCAGCACTTCAGCTTTCCTGCATTACCCTACTCTATACATTTCTGGATTTATTAGCTGTTAAAAAAGGGTTACTATCATTAACACAATGGGAAAATCTAATAATTTATTATTGAAATATTGAAATAACATGGGCGACTGAGAAAAACAAATTGGTACAATTTAAGGCCATGTGACAAACAATAATGCACTTGTTGATGACGTTGAGACTGGTGTTTTGCGGGTACTATTTAATGAAGCTGCCAGTTGAGGACCTGTGAGGCATCTGATTCTCAAACTAGACACTCTAATGTATTTGTCCTCTTGCTCAGTTGTGCACTGGGGCCTCCCACTCCTCTTTCTATTCTGGTTAGAGCCAGTTTGTGCTGTTCTGTGAAGGGAGTAGTACACAGCATTGTATGAGATCTTCAGTTTCTTGGCAATTTCTCGCATGGAATAGCCTTCATTTCTCAGAACAAGAATAGACTGACGAGTTTCAGAAGAAAGTTATTTGTTTCTGGCCATTTTGAGCCTGTAATCGAACCCACAATTGCTGATGCTCCAGATACTTAACTAGTCTCAAGAAGGCCAGTTTTATTGCTTCTTTAATCAGCACAACAGTTTTCAGCTGTGCTAACATAATTGCAAAAGGGTTTTTAAATGATAAACTTGGATTAGCAAACACAACGTGCCATTGGAACACAGGACTGATGGTTGCTGATAATGGGCCTCTGTACGCCTATGTAGATATTCCATAAAAAATCTGCAGTTTCCAGCTACAATAGCCATTTACAACATTAACAATGTCTACACTGTATTTCTGATCAATTTGATGTTATTTTAATGGACAAAAAAATTGCTTTTCTTTCGAAAACAAGGACATTTCTAAGTGACCCCAAACTTTTGAACGGTAGTGTATCTAAAATAATGGTGAGTATTACACTAAGCGGAATTGCCCGGAATTGCCCACAAGGCTGGGGTTATAACAGGTTCAGGTTAATGATGTAGGGGAAAGTTCAGTGTTTGACCTCACTCACAGCTGAAGCAGGCAGCTGCACACATTCCAGTCCGGAAAACAGAGCCTACCCTGGGGCCTCACCAGAGCTAAGGACACAGATACTGTAGTAGAGTGCTTTAACATACTATGCAAACACACTCGCACTCCCTATCGCTCTGCTGCGCTCTTTCTGCTGTGGACTATGCACAAACTCCGCACTACTCAACTGCATTGCCAATGTTTTATTTAGACAGTTAGAATAAATCGATTCAACTGAAAAGCAGGGAATTTTCTATCTCTTTGTTAGATGTGGGGTGTATGAGAGGCACTATAACTGCTGTACCCGATCTATTTTCAACTTGAATTCTATGTGCCCCCCTGCAGAGTGTGCCCTGGAGGATGAGACCTATGATGATGGGTCTGAGACGCAGGTGGAGTGTAACCGCTGTGTGTGTGCCTGTGGCAACTGGGTCTGCACCGCCATGACCTGCACTGGTGAGGAGAGAAACACCAGCACACCTGCATAGACACATTGGCTCATCTAAAAGTCATCTTAACCACAAACAGCACAACAGATAAGGACTCAACACCTGTCCTTCTCTCTCTCCAGTTGTTCCTGTAATTCTTTCATTCTTTGCATCTCTTTCTCAGACAAGACAGCGGTTGTCGAGGAGACCGGGGAGGCGGGACAGGAGATGACCGAGGAGGAATGGAGCCTCCGTGTGACCGAGCTTAACAAGCACCAGGTCAGCCTGTCACCAGAGGCAACAGTTGGTCAATGTTCAACGGACAGACCAGGCCGCTCTCCAATCTCCCCAGACAGATGGGTAGCTCTGGAATCTGTCTAGACAGAGTTATCAACTAGCTACAATATTATTGAAAGTTCAGAACAAATGAGTTTATTACACCCATTTCAACCCTTGAAAGATGTGTACTACACCCCATGAGTAATTAAGGGTGGTTTGAACAGTCATGACTATGCAAATAGTGGACCTAGACCAGGGCTCTCCAACCCTGTTCCTGGAGAGCTACCCTCCTGTAGGTTTTTGCTCCAATGCCAGTTGTAACTAATCTAATTTAGCTTATCAACCAGTTCATTATTAGAATCAGGTGCGCTAGATTAGGGTTGGAGCCCTGATCTAGACCATAGGGAGTGGGTGATATGCTTTGTCATACAATACAGCATGTTTAGTTGTCCTGAGAAAGAAACAGTGGGAGAGTTGTTCTTTATTGATGACTAACCTTGTGCAGACCATGCAACTCATTGTGTGTGTATTTGTATTTATTATAGATCCCCATTACTTTTCCTAGGGTCCAACAACATTAAGGCAGTTATACAATTTAAAAAACATTACAATACATTTCACAATAGATTTCACAGCACATTAAGTGTGTGCCCTCAGGCCACTACTCTACTACAACTTATCTACAACACAAAATCCATGTGTACATGTGAGCAGTTCTGGCTCTCAGCCATAGAAGAGTCAGCAAGGTCATGTACTCTGTCCTCAAACAGAATATCTTCCAACATCAAACATTAACATCAACAACAACAACGTTGTAATGTTTTCCCATGAATGTATTAATACTAAAAAGTAAGCCAATATTGAAGTTAAGAACAGGTAGAGATCCTTTACACTAGAGGAACTAAGGGGAAGTCATCCTCGGCACTGGGTAGAGGAATATGGGGTATTGAGTCTGTTACTATCTAATCAGAGTTACATGGCATATATTGCTCTTCTCATGACAATATATTACATTCTCCTTTCATATCCGCGATCTCCCTCTATCCCCATCTCTGTCTCTCTCTCCCTCTACCCCCCCCCCCCCCCCTCTTTCAAACACAGGAAACAGTGGAGAAGATGAAGGCCAGCACAAAGGAGGCCTAAGAGGCCGAAATGAGGGCTTGAAGGAGAGAGAGAGAGAGAGAGAGAGAGAGAGGGAGAGCGAGAGAGAGAGAGATCACTCTTCCTCCATACTTGATGTACCTTGAGGCCCTGTGCCCTTGCTGAATTTACTCATATGTTAATTATTATAGCTTTTTTACTATGTGTCATTTTGTTGATGTTTGTTAGATGCAGGGGCAGTCTAGAGTATTATTTTAGGAGTTCCTTGTATTAAGTACTGTCTTTATTTTTAATTGTATTACTCCACCCTGCACTAGGAATGGGTCCATTTTTTACTGTTATTTTATTTTGCTCCTATATATACAATATAGATACAGTATTCATTGGTATTGCTCTTGTTAGTAAAATAGCAAGCGGTAATGGTTTGAAATGAGAAAGATGAGAGATATTTGGAGTGAACTGTCGGGACACCTTTCTCCATCAAGGAAACGAAAGTCCTTCAAGATGCGTTAGAGAAGTGTAGAGCAAGACAATGACAGTGTCCTATTGTAGGGGAAGGGAGTGGGATGTCATACACTTGACTTTAAGCTTATTTGCTTACAGAACTGCCATGATACTACTTGACTAATGCACTTCTCCATCCGTGACTAGCAGCATAGTTTCAGGCCTTAGTGGATTGTCCCGTTTAGTTAGTATGTCCTGCTTTTTGACAAATACGCTTGCTCCTATGTACAATTTGTTATATGCTTGAGTTGGAGATCATATGTGATCGCAATGGCTCCTGTGCTGTATTCAATCAGCGCTCTCTGGTGCTTGTTTCAGAAACATCGAAGCAATAGTAATCTAAATTTGAAACCCCATGTAGAATATAGAATGGAAGAAACAAGCACAGAGCTGAACTGAGTACAGCAGGGAGAGAACTGAAACCAAAGCCTGATGATGACTATGATGTTGAAATGATGTACGAACCCCTCCAGGTAAAGCATTACTCTGGACCCAGCAACAACACTATACCTGTGCTTATCAACAATCAGTTATAAGGATTAGCCTCGCTGTCAGCTTACGTAACTTAGATGCATCTCTAACTCAGAGTGAATGCGTATGTCAGATAATGTGTGTGTGTGTGTGTGTGTGATGAGGAAGTGTTTTTCGAGTGTGTGTCATATTTGTTTTATGTTTTATTTGTAAAAATCTCACTTATCCTGAGAATTATTTGTGGTTAAATCAGTGCCTTAACACCCAAACATAGGCCTGCAGACACACTGTAGAGGTCTCGTGTCCTGCAAGCTTTAAACCACAATTGGAATGGGCAAGACTATAATTGGCAGAATTTTGATAGTAACCTTAGAGCTATTTGGTTTAGTCCTTGTTAAATGTTTGTGTGAAAATTCCATAACTAGTTTGGTTAATAACTTTTTATTCTAAAAGGAATGCAGCGTGTATAAGGAGTATGTATGCCAATAAAAACAGCCTATACAGTACTACAAATGTCTCAACCTGTGTGTGTGGGTGTGTGTCTCCAGCTGTCTGTCTGTCTGTTTGTCTGTATGTGTTAATCTTTTACGTTATTTTATGTTCAAACAGTAATACATAAATATCTTAAGACACAAAAAATATAAAATAATCACGTTTGCATCAGAGCTGTCTATCCGGGAAATGTTGCTGGTGTGGTTTTCTACAGAAAATCTAGCCTACATTCCATTGATATTGGTCCAAGAGGCAGTGTTCCAATGCCATCTGGTCCATATTGTGGCTGTAATATGAGAATATTTTTAAAAAGTCACTAAACATTGCAAACAGTGTGCTTTTATTTTTATTCTGCAGGAGGCATTGTGGTTTAAGTAGGATATGGGTGAATTGAGGTTGCTTTTATAACCTACATCAGGTTATACACGTGCTTCTACACCTGCATTACTAGCTGTTTGGGGTTTTAGGCTGGGTTTCTGTACAGCACTTCGAGATATTAGCTGATGTAAGAAGGGCTATATAAAATAAAATTGATTATATATATATATATATATATATATATATATATATATATAAGTATACACACTCTCTCGCATGATGTCTTACATAATGTAGGCTACTAGTGGATGATTGCATAATATCCAGGGGAGAGGGAAGGTGAGCAGACTGGTTCATTTTCACCTTCAACTTTCTCCCAGTTTTAGTTTATTATGGACCCATTACAACTTTACGCACGACTATTCTGTTTTACTAGCAAACGGGAGACAATACACTTCGTGATGTTACTCTATCAGATCAGATCCAACTGAGATAAATGCATGTAGGCCAATGAACGGGTTCAACAGTTAGGGCGGAGCTACTGGAACAAGCCAATCCTGAAACATGTACTACAAATACTCAATGCTGAACAGTTGCTTTGTCTGTACCAGCCAGGTTCTGGCAATTTACAGAGTGAACTCTCTCTATTCTACACAATAATCTTGCTAAATGTAAATTACTGACCCAGATACTTTTCATGAGATACAGTGTGTCGTGTTGCAACCTGGTCTTAGAGCATTTCGTCAACTGCAACGTTGCATTAACAACATTAACATGAGTGTGGGAGCAGCAATAGTGGACTCGGCGTTTCACCTTCAAAATAAAGGTCTCCATTGAACCTGATGCTAACAGATAAAAGCGCTAACATTTGTGTAAACTCTACAGAGTGGTGTTCTGTGGGTGTCACTGAGTAGGCTGATACGCCATTTCATGGGTGCACAATACATAAGTTAGGCTGTAGAGTGCAATATGAATGTCCAAAACCTACAATGACTGGGAAGGTGATTTCCCAGTCAAAGTCCTGCAATAAGAGCTAAGATACTAATATTTGTGTAAACTCTTGATAATTGTGTTTTCTAGGTGTCACTGAGACGGCTGATACCCCATTTCATGGGTGCACAATCCATAGGTTAGGCTGTACAGAACATATACATATCTCCAATGCAATTCTAAGGTCTAATACATCCACAGTTCGTTTTTTTGTAAAATGAACAAACAATTGTATTTTCTTGAATGTATAACATTACAACCTTGTTTGGCATGATCTAGTGTAATTGTGTCATGATTCCACTATTTTCCTCCGTTTGCATCAGTTTCAATGGGGACTTTTATTTTGAAGGCACCCCGCCGATTCCATTATTGTTGCTCACGCTAATGTTGTTCATGAGACACACATGCAACTCGGGTCATTGGCATTGGATTCCTCTCTTTATTTGGAGAACCATAAAGAGTGCGATCACCAGTTTGTCCAGAATATTGAAGAGTAGCCTACGCTGCGAAATGGAGCTGCATGAAGGAGCCGCACACGTACATGGTGAGGGTGTTTTAGACCTGTCGCGTCTGAATTTGAACAGTTTGAGCTTGGTCAACATCAGCGAGGAGCGAAAGAGGGGCACCAAGCAGTTGTATCTCAACTTCAACCGACTGCCCTCGCTGCCCGGATCGGTTTGCATGTTCTCCAACCTCGAGTTTCTTGACATTAGCAACAACGGACTATCGGTCATCTGTGAAGGCATTACCCGGTTAACGAAGCTCAGAACACTAATAGCCAAGAACAACCGTCTGGACGAATTCTCGCTTCCCAAGGAATTCGGGTCTTTGCCGTTGGAGGTGTTGAATCTAAGTGGCAATAGATTTGAGGAGATGCCAGCGCAGTTCCTGAAGTTGCAGCGGCTACAATCACTTTCCGTGGGGGGAAACAGACTCCAAAGTATTCCTGCAGAAATTGAGAATTTAACCAGGTATGTAGACTACATAACGGTGTCCGCGGCCTCACCAGCTGCTACCGCACTAGCTTGTTGCAGTCACCAGTGATTACATCACAACCTTAAACATAATTTGCAACAAACGGCCTGTCACAATGACCAGTTTAGGCCTACTGTAGTCAGGTTCCTGGGCAAAAAGAGAGTTCAGCCAATCGTGTTTAACTGCAGGCCGCAATTCTGGTTGTTCCAGCATGTGGGCATTCCTGCAATAAAAATTGACCAATAGAAGTATAAAGAGTGGTTCCTGCAGATGCAGGAATGCCCACATGCAGGAACGCCCCGAATTGCAGGCCGCAATTGCACCCTTCTTAGTTCAACGGGTACAGGATAGTTCAACTGCCAATGCTGTGGGTTTGGGTTGTAAAGGCTGAACTGATGCCATTACATCAGTGACTTGTCAGAGGCAGAGATGAGGGAGAGGCAGAGATGAGGGAGCAAGCTATACTATGCTGTCTTGTAGCCTACTGCCATGGTAGCTTGCCTTTACAAACAGAATGCACTTATTTGATTGCCAGGACTATGGTTAAATGGATTTCATCAGATCCTCACTCCCTCAGCCTAAACTAAAGCAGACTTTATATCCCAACCTAACCTGTATGTTTTTCAGGAAATGAAAACTTTATAGTATCACAACATCCAGCCAATTACATTTACCAGCCAATCAGGCCTTTAGCAACCCTGACAGGTGTGTGAGATATCCAGGAATCTTATCTGTTCTTGGGCAGGGGCATGACAGACTGCCATTGCCACACTCACAAAGTTACTCAGAGCAGGAAATATGTGGTTCATATTGTGGTGTACACGTAAACAACCTCTGGGGTGACTAACTAGTATTCATAAATAAAACACACACACTCCCTTGCACATAGTCAAGTCACACACACACACGCACTCACGCACACACATACACACATGATCACATACAGAAATTCAAGCATCTTGTGGTCAATATGTGAATGATGCCACGTTTGTATAAAGTGCAGGGGCAGTGTGTTCCAAGGGTAGTAAAAAACAAGGTCATCTGGAAAAAGTGGTAGGTTAATATCAACGATATTAGATATCAGTGAGAACAGTTTAGGATCCTCCTCAGAGGTTCCTCAGAGGAGGAGGGGGGGACCATCTTCCTCAGTGAATTTATAAAAAATAGTGAAACATTAAAGTTTTCCATTTTAGATAAAACTCTACTAAATATATTCACGTCACCAAATAATTTATTAAAACACGCTGTTTTGCAATGAAGGTCTACAGTAGCCTCCGCAGCACTCTGTAGGGTAGCTCCGTGGTGTAGCCGGAGGACAGCTAGCTTCAGTCCTCTGGGTACATTGACTTAAATTCAAAACCTAGGAGGCTCATGGTTCTCACCCCCTTCCATAGACTTACACAGTAATTATGACAACTTCTGGAGGGCATCCTCCAACCTATCAGAGCTCTTGCACCATGAATTGACATGTTGTCCACCCAATCAAAGGATCTGATAATGAATCTAGTACTAAAAGCATAAGCTACAGCTAGCTGGCACTGCAGTGCATGAAATGTGGTGAGTAGTTGACTCAAAGAAAGAAAGACAATAGTTGAACAAATACTTTTTGACTGAGGTGACAACGATGTAGGCTGTGTGTAGCGGTTAGTGGTCATGATATGAAGGTTTGGCTTGAAAGGGTTTTTCGCCTGGTCACAGACAGCTAATGTGTTATTCACTGAATTCCACAAGCGAAGGGAAAAGGTGTGAGACGGAGAGCGTGTAGATAGTTGCAAGAAGGAATTATATGTACAACGAGCAAAGTGATCATGCTGTTTTTATGTGGCTGCTATGAAAGTGAACTGTGTTTGCGTGTGATCAGGGGTGTATTCATTCTGCCGATTCTGTTGAAAAACGTTCCTTAAATGGAACAAATTTAACAAAACGGGGATAAACATACATTAATTGGTCCAATAGAAACTCTCATTTTCAACTGTTGGACTAATGATTACACCCTAGATCAGCTAGATGCAGGCAAGAGTGTGCAAGGCAGTATTGAATGTGTCACTGTCACCTTGATTACTAAAAATTCGCTCGATGTGTGCACCTACGTTGTAAACTTTCATTCATAGGCTAAGTTGTAGCAACCTCATGATGGGTATAGGGAAAATTTGAGTGCCATGTAGTAGCCTAAACCTATGGATGTTACATTGAGCTGGGTGAATGGAATATGAATGGCTGTCATCTAATATACTGCAATAGAAAAACTGTAAGGCCATGCTCATAAAAAATAAAAATAATAATCATCCTCCATCATCTTAAACGGCACCGACCGCCACTGATCTGACTATATAGCCAGTTAACATCATAAAAGAGAAAACAAATCATAAAGTCTCAGAGATCAGTGGGTGCAACCAGGATGTGGGACATGTCATGCAGTTAAACAGTAGCCCATTTATAGGCTTACAAAAGATAAGTGTGTAAATACTTTGACTTCAGCTGGAATATACCCACATTGGCTTTAATAGGTGTCGTTCCACCCATTCGGTGCCTTTTGAGATGTGTAACTTGGTGGGGGGAAAAAACAATGTTTAATTTCACTAAATTTTAACAGGCTCTCATATTCCAAATTAAGTAACATGGTCGATTGTAACAGGGTTGACGATTTCATCTTCAATCAGCCATGAATCCCCTTGTGAAAGGGGTAATGGAAGCTTGTTGTGTGCAACAAGAGGGGAAATGTAATGCAAGCTTCACAAAAAACAAATATATATATTTCTATGGGTAACAGGGTTGACGTGTTATGCTCGACCCACTAAGTTTTCCACCACAAAACAGCAAACAAGAGTAGAACCAGCTCACCTGCTTTTACACTGATTTGAGTGTTAGATGTTCAATGTTTCTTTTGGAGAAAAAAATAATTAAAAGGTAATAGTTTCACCATATTTTGTTGCATTTTTATATTTTTTCAATTTGACTTACCTCAAATTGAATCACTAATCATATGAAATAAATAATCTTCAGAAATGACTTTTCCATGTTAAGAGTGACACTGAGACTCAGGTTTTTCACTTTAAAATGTATTTCAAACAAAAACCGATGATTGCAAAGGTAAACAAACCATATAACTCTATGCACAATGACTACTTTCAACAATTTCCACAAACATTTTACAAAAAAGGATTTACTTGAAGAACAGTGCAGATGCAAAGTTTGGTAACAGAATTACGGTTTGCGTTGTTTGTGCCGTCATTCTGTTACCAAACTTTGCATCTGCACTGTTCTTCAACAACATAACTAGGGCTTGATGCTGAAAACTTTGTGAATTTTTGGGGTCAAGTGGGTTAAAATCCTCCTGGAAGTCACAGAGGGTACACAGAGGGACATGTCAAAAGGCTGAATTTTGGCTTTAGCAAGTCTTTATTCATATTAAAATTTTGATTTATTGAATTCTCCATGTGGCCTATATTAAAGGGCACTTCGTTGAATATAACAGGTTTTTAATATTCAATATTGGTGCACAATGTCTACTTTAAAATATCAAAAGGCACTCATTTAGTTGAACGACCCAGTTACAGTCGCCAACACTAACCCTGTTGGCTGACTGTCATCAACTGATTTGATCATTGCTTTTTAGTGATGTTACTATAGCTAGTCAGGATTGGTCTTTACCATCTTTGGCAACAAGTTTTGTTACATGTCTTATTCAAGGGTAAGAATAGAAGAATAAGCCTAACATGCGTTTAAAAAAAATTATGCACACATGACTAAGTCGCTTTGGATAAAAGCGTCTGCTAAATGGCAAGAGAAAGTATTCAGAAAGTATTCACACCCCTTGACTTATTCCACATTTGGTTTTGTTACAGCCTGAATTCAAAATGGATTAAATGGATTTTATTTTTCCATCTACACACAATACCCCATAATGACAGTGAAAACATGTTTTTAGACATTGTTGCAAATTTATTGAAAATAAAATATATCATTTCCATAAGTATTCACACCCCTGAGTCAGTACATGTTAGAATCACCTTTGGCAGCGATTACAGCTGTGAGTCTTTCTGGGTAAGTCTCTAAGTACTTTCCACACCTGGATTCTGCCCATTTGCCCATTTATTCTTTTCAACATACTTCAAGCTCTGTCAAATTGGTTGTTGATCATTGCTAGACAACCATTTTCAGGTCTTGCCATAGATTTTCAAGTAGATTTAAGTCAAAACTGTAACTCGGCTACTCAGGAACAGCGTCTTCTTGGTAAGCAACTCCAGTGTAGATTTGGCCTTGTGTTTTTGTTTTAGGTTATTGTCCTACTGAAAGGTGAATTCCTCTTCCAGTGTCTGGTGGAAAGCAGACTGAACCAGATTTACCTCTAGGATTTGCCTGTGTTTAGCTCCATTCTGTTTATTTTTTTTATCCTAAACTCCCCAGTCCTTAACGATTACAAGCATACCCATAACATGATGCAGCCACCCCTATGCTTGAAAATATGGAGAGTGGTACTCAGTAATGTGTTGTATTGGATTTGCCCCAAATATAACACTTTGTATTCAGGACAAAAATGTAATTGCTTTGCTACATTCTTTGCAGTATTACATTAGTGCCTTGATGCATGTTTTGGAATATTTTTATTCTGTACCGGCTTCCTTCTTTTCCTCTGTCAATTAGGTTAGTATTGTAGTAACTACAATGTTGTTGATCCATCCTCAGTTTTCTCCTATCACAGCCATGCTCAAAAGGGATATTCAGTATCTGCTTTTTTAGTTTTTACCCATCTACCAATAGGTGCCCTTCTTTGCGAGGCATTGGAAAACCTCCCTGGTGTTTGTGGTTGAATCTGTATTTGAAATTCACTGCTCGATTGAGGGACCTTACAGATAATTGTATTTACGGGGTACAAAAATCATGTTCAACACTATTATTGTGCACAGAGTCCATGCAACTTATTATGTGACTTGTTAAGCACATTTTTACTCCTGAACTTGAATTTATGGTTGCCATAACAAAAGGGTTGAATACTTATTGACTCAAGACATTTCAGCTTTTCATTTTGTATTCATTTGTAAACATTCCGAATAAATAAAAAAATCCACTTTGACAATATGGGTTAGTGTGTAGGCCAGTGACGACAACAACAAATCTAAATGTAATAAAAATTAAAGGGGTGTGAATACTTTCTGAAGGCACTGTATGTCATTTCCTGTCACAGGAACAAGTATGTCAGTACAAAACGGTCTCTATGTAGTTTTTACCATTGTTAAGTATGTTTCACAAGAACATACCGGTAGTTAGTTTAGTTACCAATAATATGGTATATGGCCTATAATGTAAGTATGGGCCAATATTTACCTCTGCCTTATTGTACCGACATTACTGGCATCACTATGACACCTTCCCCACTCAGTGTGACATGTAGGGACAGTTTGTTCCTTTGGCCTTATTGTCATGTGGTAGTTGGGTAGTACCAGGGTATGGTGCAATAACCCAAAGCCAGAGTAACATTCAAAGATAGGCCTACAGTCACGCACTGTGTCTTGTAAACATATTAACCAACACAAACTACATGTAAAGAGACAGCATCTCACTGAAAACTTCAGAGCAGCTGAACATACACACTGTCTCATATCTATAGTAATGAATGATGGAGGTTGTATGGGACTAGGGCTGTGTGCCCGTGTGTGTGTGTGAGTGGGGTAACTGTAGAGTGAGGTGTTGAGATGTTCCTGAATGGCTTCTTTAGACCCTCTGTCCCTGAGGGGCTGGCTCAGGGCTCAGGCCCCAAGTACACATAATGGCCTCTCCCAGTCGCTGCTGTGTCATCAGTTCCACAGGCAGACCAGACCATGGGGCAGATGGGCTGACTGCTCACTTTCAGTGTCAGGCCATTACATATCCCTTTCACTCCCTGTCTCTCTGTCCCTGCTGCTCCCTCTGTTCTTCTCTCTTTCTCTCTATTTCCCCAGTGTTCAGCTGTCTTTTCACTTTTTCATCTGTTCAGAGGGATTGGGAGAAAGCAGAACACTTGTGAATGTGTACATTACCATTGGAGATTTGTGGACTTTGAACCAATAGTCATCTGTTTCTCTCTGTCAGTCATCTGTTGTATACTGAACAAACATATAAATGCAACATGTAAAGTGTTGGTCCAATGTTTCATGAGCTGAAATAAAGTATCCCAGAAATGTTCTATACGCATAAAAAGCTTATTTCTCTAAAATGTTGTGCACAAACTATCCCTGTTAGTGAGAATTTCTCATTTGCAAAGATAATCCATCCACCTGACAGGTGTGGTATATCAAGAAGCTGATTTAAACAGCATGATCATTACACAGGTGCACCTTGTGCTGGGGACAATAAAAGGCCACTCTAAAATGTGCAGTTTTGTCACACAACACAATGCCACAGATGTCTCAATATTTGAGGGAGCGTGCAATTGACATGCTGACTGCAGGAATGTCCACCAGAGCTGTTGCCAGAGAATGTAATGTTCATTTCTCTACCATAAGCCACCTCAACAGCGTGTTCCAGTTCCCGCCAATATCCAGCAACTTCGCACAGCCATTGAAGAGGAGTGAGACAACATTCCACAGGCCATAATCAACAGTCTGATCAAGGATATGTGTCGCACTGCATGAGGCAAATGGTGGTCACACCAGATAATTACTGATTTTCTGATCCACTCCCCTACCTTTTTTTCTTTAAGGTATCTGTGACCAACAGATGCATATCTGTATTCCCAGTTGTGTGAAAACCATAGATTAGGGCCTAATTAATTAATATCAATTGACTGATTTCCTTATATGAACTGTATCTTAGTAAAATCTTTGAAATTGTTGCATTTTTATATTTTTGTTCAGTTTATATGACTACCCCACATTGCTGTCTGCTGCTTAGGACTGTGTATTTAGCCTACACTGCATTTGATTGCACTAAACCTAAACTTCAAGCTGAAAACATTTTTGGGACTCTCTAGTAATGCCTCTACCTCTGGCGGCCCCTACACAAAGTCAGAGTAAACACACACACACACACACAGGCAGGTAGGCTAAAGATAGAAATTCCAGCACCTCTCTGTGGTATGTGTATAGTGTGTGTCTCCTCTTTGAGACGGTTGGTTTAGCAGTTCCACTGCTCCAGCCCATACCTCATAGTCACAAATACACACACACATGTTATACTCCTTTACTATGGACCCGGCCGCTCAATCTTTGATGCCTTTCACCCACTCTGGTAATGCATTGCTGTCACATACAGCATCTATGTCAACATGTGGGAACCCCATTGTGGTACTGATGTGTCAAAACATGTGTGCACTTGGAACTGTCCAGTATACAATATGTTATGGTGTTTTTAAAGTCCTAAACACCTTCAGGCATGCTTTACTTGTTGGTGTAATGTTAATTACCACTCGATATGATGTAAACATATTAAACCTCTATCTCTGTCTCTCTCTCTCTCTGTCAGTCTTGAGATGCTGTATTTGGGTGGTAACCTGATCACCTCTATTCCTCCTGAGCTGGCCAACCTGCCCTACCTCAGCTATTTGGTCCTGTGTGACAACCGCATACAGGGTGTACCCCCGCAGCTCACCAGGTAACCACAACATAACCATAACACAGCCTCAACCCCATCTAGAGCATACTGCCACAGCTCACAAGGTAAACACAACACACCCATAATATAACCACAGGAACCTGCAAGTAAGCATTTCATTAGACAATGTATACCATGCGTATCCCGTACATACTAATACAACTCAACAACAACAAAATAATAATACTACTACAAGACAGTCATAACCCAACCATATTCAAGGTGCACCAGTACTATAGCTCAACTGGTTACTACAACACATCCATAGTGGACTACTACAACTTAACCATAAACTAACCACGGTCTAGATTTCTGTTCATAATACTCACAACGATAACCATGACCTTGCCAATCTCTCTCCCCCCCCAGGCTCCACTCCCTGCGCTCCCTGAGTCTCCATAACAACCTGCTGACCTACCTGCCCCGGGAGATCCTCAGCCTGGTGCGCCTGCAGGAGCTCAGTCTCCGCGGCAACCCCCTGGTGGTGCGCTTCGTCAAGGAGATGACCTATGACCCGCCGTCGCTGCTGGAGCTGGCAGGTCGTACCATCAAGAGCCGGAATGTTCCATACTCGTCCTGCGACATGCCCTCTCACCTGCTGCACTACCTAGACCTGGCCAGCAAGTGTCCCAATCCTAAGTGTGCCGGTACGTCTACTACACATTAGTTTCTCATTGGACTGTGTCTGTATTTCTGTCCCTGTCTTTTTCTGCTTGTCTGTATATAATTGTTTATGTATAAGTATGTGTCGATTTATTTCAGTGTGCTTATTCTATGTCTGTTTCTCTGCTCTCTCTCCCCAGGCGTGTACTTTGACTCGTGCGTGCGCCACATCAAGTTTGTGGACTTCTGTGGGAAGTACCGGCTGCCCCTCATGCACTACCTGTGCTCCCCAGAATGCACCTCACCCTGCAGCTCCAACCCCCAGAGCGATGCCGAGTCAGAGGATGAGATCAGCGTGCCCGCCTACCGCCTGCAGAGGGTGCTGCTGGGATAGCAGGAAGTGGAAGGACCTCCGGTCCTAACCATGACAACAGCCTCAGAACCCCAGTCTTTCTCTCTGGGGATGAACTCTGACCCCTCTGGTCTCTTGTTTGTGTGTGTTTGATGCAAGACGCTAGACACACACACGCGCACTATGACATACGCACGCACGCACGCACGCACGCGCGCACACACACACACACACACACACACGTGAGAGATATCTTGTTGTCACTGTGGACCTTTAACCAGGACAAATACCTTTAGGTGGGTATGTCCCCAGGAACCCATTGACTCAGTCACTATAGCCATCTAAAACTGAGGGGCAAATGATGTGCGGGATCTTAGCTCTATTTCTCAGTAACATTACAGATCACTGATGCCTTCTGACTTTGAGCAGTGCCTTAAACAGATTAATAATTTCACTCCATTCCTGATGGTTTCATGGGTAAACATAGGAGGGCAGTAGAAACCATAACTTTGCCAACTCGCTATGTGATCTATCGAAAGGTTTTCATGATTTTAGAACACTATCACACCATTCCTGAGAGTCAGGATATGAACAATGTGAGCTTTCCAAGTGCCTGAAAACAGAAAGTGTGTGACCCGGTTCTCTGTGAAAGCTTTGTTTTTCTCTCACAGGAAGTTGATCTAGGCCGGGCAGAGTGTGTATGGACGCCTCACAGCACAATACACACACATTTACTGTGAAAGGAGAAAATCTAACGAATCCGACAAGATACAATGAAAGTTTGTATTTCCAGCCCTTGGTATTCTCTAAATTTGACAGTTATAGATATATGTATCAACGTCTTTGTGATGTTTGTGGGAACATTTAGACAATGTCTCCAGAAGGTACGTGTTTATGGTAACTGGAAGAATAATACAGTAGCTGACCTTTCAATAATGCTGGTCTATTGTTACAGTACCATGTAGAAGTGCTTTTGTATGTATGTGTATATGCCTTACTGAAGAGAAAAGGAATTCTAGAAAGAAAACAAAGTGAGAACAGAACCTGTAATATGTAACAATTCACTTTTTTTTTTTTTTATATTTATGCTGTGTTAACACTTTACTTGACACCTAGTGTCATAACATGTTATGACACAGTCATAACCATGTCATGATGTCATAACAGATTACATAACCTGTCATAATATAGTCGTAACACTGTCATGACACATATTTAGACCTGTTGTGACATATATTGTGTTATTTTATTGCTGGTTATGACCCCTACGTAAGTGTCTCAACCCACCACAGTAGTTATTTTATGGCTGGTTATGACGCCTACATAAGAGTGTCAAAACCTACCACACAAGGCTAAACATACATTACACCATAACCTACATCAACAGTATTTTTATATTCTATAACATTCTGAAATTTGCCCTATTATATTATCATTGTAATTGTGCACACATTGATGTAAGTCAATGTCAAATCTGACTGGGATCAGATTTCAGGAGGACACCCTTTTTTTGGACTGATGACTAACATAAGGGCATGTACATGATAGGCCTATCTGGCATAAATGATTCTGATGGTCATAATGCTTCTTGACAGTGTCATAAAGTGTATTTTCTTAGTCCATGTAAAGTGACACAGGATGGTCATAATGCTTCTTGACAGTCAGTGTATTTTCTACAAGTTATTTAAAATATGATGGGGGAAAAAACATGACTAAAGAATTCATTTCAACAACAAAGAATTTAAGAAACAAACTTTCCAACAAAAATCTAACTCCTTGGCAGGGAAAAAAAGACATTTGAGTAAATGAGGGTTTTGAACTAGTATAGGTGTCATAAGCAGCCATAAAATAATGCAATATATGTCACAATAGGTGTAATTATATGGGTCATGACAGTGTTACGACCATGTTATGACATTATGACATGGTTATGACGCTAGGCGTCAAGTAAAGTGCTACCCATGATCTTAACCACAATGTTGTGAAAATTAAGCAATTGTGCAATTTTTGTAACGTACTGCTTTTATACACTCAATGGTTCACACGCTAATACAGTGCTTTTATTGAAGATGACTTACTGAATATAATATAGTACTCATACAGGTCGATGATCTGTACTAAAGTATGTGCACTTTTCCCCTATAATATAGACTGTACAGTATATAATACAATCCCTAATAAAGTTTGATTTTCATGTCAAAAAAATGTGTGTGGAATATCTGTGAAACATGTTACCCACGATAGTGAGGTATAACCTGCAACATCAGCTGACTGCACTACTATCTCCTATCTGTCTAGTTAGCTCTGAGTTCATAGTCCACATCTCATTTCTGCTGAAGCTATGATGACATCTCCTTAGCTTCTGTCATCATTGTTTGCTATGTAGACTAATCTATGTGGAAGAATCAGTGGGCCTGTCACCAGATAGTGTCAATTTTTGTTTGTTTGCCTGCCTGTTGCGAAAATGACTACAATGCATTTCCACTGTAGCTTTTCTCCAGAACTAACTGCCAAACGGTTGACAGTTGGAACTATGCTAGATTGCTAGGCCGTCTGTGAGTGCGCTTGTGCATGAGCGTGACAGACCGTTTTGTTTTGAGTCATTGGTAGCTTGAATGGGTTGCGTTCAGGACTGGTCTGCTTCATTTGCATATGAACGTGATTGCATTACTGAGGGGGAATGCAGAGGGACCTCTTCATTAACCCAGCACTAAGAGATGCCAGGGTGAGGCCATTCTGCCTCCTCTCAATCTGCAGATCCCTTTATTTACCCTGCCAAGACCTAGTGATGTAAACCTCTCTCTCTCTCTCTCCTACTCTCTCTCAGCCTGCCTCCTCTTTCATTCTCTTTCTCTCGTCTGAGCAGGCTGACTGGTTCTTTGATGGCTTTGAGGGACAGATGTTTTGTGTCATCCGTTTGCCCACGTTTTAAACAGTCTCTTCAGAGAGCTCAAAGTTCTGTCTTTCTGGCTCGCTAACAGACAGGCTCTGTCCAGCCCTCCTCATTCAGGCCTGGGGTGGCTTACATCAGACCCCTCACTGGCCTTTTTTTCTCCTCCATTATCTGTACCCCCTCTTCTGTCTTTCTCTCTCTTTGACACACACACACACAGACAGACAGATGCAGACACTCAATGTGAGAAGCTGATATGCTTACAGGGATTTGCTCTCAGTATCTTCTGGATTGTAGTGTGATATGTATTTGAGTTTGTTCATTTCTATTGATATTATCCACTGCCATGATGATTCCTTCTCCAAACAGCAGGTATCTGAGCCCCCTACTCTGTTACATAAGCCAGGTGTGTGTGTCTGCTGCAACCCGAGACAGAGACACACGCTGAAGCGGCCATGATGAAACTGAGCCAGAGTGAATTAAACGACAGACAGTTGAGGAGAGGAGCACTCTGTCACCAGTCAACACAACTCAGGAGTTCACAGATCACAAGTCACAACTCAGACATTTTGAATATAGAACAGGAAGTCAAAATCTTGGACTCAGAGAATTCAGAACATAACTAAGAACTAACTGCTTGACTGTCAGCAGTGAATGGAAGAGAAAGACCCAAGGATACTGAGGCCAACAGAACTGCCTGCTAAAGGTAATGACTGCTTGTGTGTGTGGTGTATGTATGCAGGCTAATTCCATCTGATTAATGTTGGCATTAGGTTTTTGCTCTGCCCTATAGATAATAGTATAGTCTACAATGCACAGTATAGGGGATCAGTGGCTAAAAGAACAGAGTGGTTTGAAAAGGGGGATTTTGATACTGTAAGCCTCTTATCACCTTCACTAGACCATTAATTCAAATCAGCTCCCCTCAACACTATGACTTGGCTGCGTGTGCCTCCACTGACGTACATTCCAGACTTCACACATGATGAACTCCACAGACTCGCACATACACTCAGCTCAACACACGAGAGTCACACACTCCGGACCCTGACAATCGGACCTTGTCCTGGGATTAGGGGGGGGGTGCTGCTAATCTGCCTCCTTACTGCCGCCTATATGGTTTCTCTGGGGGAAGGGGGGTGGTGATGGAGGCACGGGGGAACAAGAGGGTAGGGGTGTGATTGTCCACTGTTATGTAACCATGTTAGATCGCCATGGTGAAGAACAAATCATAGAACAAAAACTTAGATCACACCCCTCTCTCCACAACCCCTTTCATTTTACTTCTCTCTGCTACTTGATCCTCACCTCTTTCTCTATTGTTGCTTCTGCCTGCAAACTTCTTGTTCTACCCCTCTCACCCATCTTTTCTTTCTCCTAACGTCTATTCCATTACATTTACATTTACATCATTTAGCAGACGCTCTTATCCAGAGCGACTTACACATTACCTCTCAAACCTGCTGTCCTCATTTCTCATAACCTCTCTACCATCACCTCTGGCTCCATTAACCTCTATCTGTATGAGATTGGTAACCTTGGGAATTCTGTAAATACTAGATCCCTCTCCGAATGTGAATCTGGATCTGTGTGACTGTTAAATCCCTTTCCTCATGTGGCCAGTGAGGGAGGCCTCAATTGCCCCTTTAGTAGAGACAATCCGGTTGCAGCATCAAAGAAAATGAAAATACAGGTAATCCAGGACCCTGGCAAATCATGGAAGGGTTTCAGTGTTCCAGAGCTGGATTTGCAGCCAGGAAATGGTTTCTGCTATGGCAGGAAATGGGCCTCAGGCATTCAAATCACAAAAACAAAAGATTTAGCACAGATGCATTGTCTTTTTCACTTTTTTGGTCTTTGTCCCATTCATATACAGTACTTCACTGCTGGTTTACATTCACTGTAAGAAGTTATTGTGCCTTTGTTAGTTACAGAGACAGCCCAAGCACAGCGTGAACAAAGGGTCTTGAACAATGATGGTTTCCATTAGACATAACAATTAGCTGTTTTTTTCATGATGTATTTCGTGAAGTTTAATATCTCCAACAACCTTATGCTGAGGGACATGCATTCCTCTCCTCCCCACCCTCCCCCTACCCTCTCCCATCCACCCTGTCCTCCTTAACTCAAGCTGTTCCAAATGCTCCGC